GGAACTTGAGGCATTTTGGGGCTGTAGGTTGGCAACCTACAGCACTTAAAAGCAACCATGGAGTCTTGAAACACGAGGGTTTGGAGGGAACTTGAGGCATTTTTGGGGCTGTAGGTTGGCAACCTACAGCACTTAAAAGCAACCATGGTCTTGAAACACGAGGGTTTGCAGGGAACTTGAGGCATTTTGGGGCTGTAGGTTGGCAGCAAAAGCAACGATGGGGTCTTGAAACACGATGGTGGGGCTGTAGGTTGGCAACCTGCAGCAGTTAAAAGGAACCATGGGGTCTTGAAACACGAGGGTTGGAGGGAACTTGAGGCATTTTGGGGCTGTAGGTTGGCAACCTACAGCACTTAAACGCAAACATGGTCTTGAAACACGAGGGTTGATGAATTTTAGGGCTGTAGGTTGGCAACCTACAGCACTGAAAACATCATGAGGTCTTGAAACACGAGGGTTGGAGGGAACTTGAGGCATTCTGGTGCTGTAGGTTGGCAACCTACAGACTTAAAAGCAACCATGGAGGGCTTGAAATACTGGAGTTGGAGGGAACTTGAGGCATTTTGGGGCGGTAGGTTAGCAACCTACAGCACTTAACAGCAACCATGGTCTTGAAACACCAGGGTTGGAGGGTACTTGTGGCATTTTGGGGCTGTAGGTTGGCAACCTACAGCACTTAAAAGCAACCATGGAGGGCTTGAAATACTGGAGTTGGAGGGAACTCAAGGCATTTTGGGGATGCAGGTTGGCAACCTACAGCACTTAAAAGCAACCATGGTCTTGAAATACTGGAGTTGGAGGGAACTTGAGGCATTTTGGGGCTGTAAGTTGGCAACCTACAGCACTTAAAAGCAACCATGGAGGCTTGAAACACCAGGGTTGTAGGGAACTTGAGGCATTCTGGGGCTGTAGGTTGGCAACCTACAGCACTTAAAAGCAGCCATAGAGTCTTGAAACACAAGAGGTTGGAGCGAAACTGCAGGCTGGCAACCTATTGCACTGAAAAGCAACCATGGGGTCTTGAAACACAAGGGTTGGAGGGAACTTGAGGCATTTTGGGGCTGTAGGTTGGCAACCTACAGCACTTAAAAGCAACCATGGTCTTGAAACACGAGGGTTTGGAGGGAACTTGAGGCATTTATAGGCATTTTGGGGCTGTAGGTTGGCAACCTACAGCACTTAAAAGCAACCATGGAGGGCTTGAAATACTGGAGTTGGAGGGAACTTGAGGCATTTTGGGGCTGTAAGTTGGCAACCTACCGCACTTAAAAGCAACCATGGAGGCTTGAAACACCAGGGTTGTAGGGAACTTGAGGCATTCTGGGGCTGTAGGTTGGCAATTTTGGGGCTGTAGGTTGGCAACCTACAGCACTTAAAAGCAACCATGGTCTTGAAACACGAGGGTTTGGAGGGAACTTGTGGCATTTTGGGGCTGTAGGTTTGCAACCTACAGCACTTAAAAGCAACCATGGAGGGCTTGAAATACTGGAGTTGGAGGGAACTTGAGGCATTTTGGGGCTGTAGGCTGGCAACCTATTGCACTGAAAAGCAACCATGCAGCCTTGAAACATTGGGGTTGGGGCGAAATTGAACGTATATTTTGGGGCTGTAGGTTGGCAACCGACAGCAGCTAGAAGCAGCCATGGGGTCTTGAAACAATGCTTGATTGGTGACCTAGGGCACTTACAGGTTGCAATGAAGGTTTGAAACACCCCAGTCCCATCACTCAAATCATGACTATTTCGGGTCAGAATTCAAATCCAAAAGACAATCAATTGATTTGGCATTAGCCATTTTTAGGTAACCTACTGCTTGGGACCTCTCAAGCAAATGCAAATTGAGGCCGTGACTGTGACCGTTTTTCTAAACCAAGCCGATTCGGTCCATCATGGGATTTGAGCAATGCAAAGGTGATGATATGGTGATCTGGGTAAATTATAGCGACCTCACTACGACCTCACTGGGAATCATGGTTAATAATGGCCTTATTTCAGGTTTGTGAATTATTATAATTTACCCAGTGGTGATGATTGTCAACGTCCCAAAAGGTGTTTTTGATTGTTTTTGCCTACTCAAGCACGCAACAGTGGCCATATCTAAGATGAAAGGATAGAACTTGGTATATACTGCCCGCGTCGCATAAGGTTTTGTAAGGATGAAGCGTTGATTTTGATCATGATAAACAACTTCAATCGACAATCTATGGGGATTTGTTCCCTAACAAGGAGGGTTCAACAACCGCCATGAAATAGGGGTAGAGCCAGTATGTTTGGTCGAATTTTCCCAGCCTTTCAATCCTAAACATATTGGGTTCTTGAGGCCTTGGCTTTAAGCACAGGGCTTTTACCAATAGAAATTGTATCCAAACATATACATAACACATGATTTCCGTCCCTTATGAAATGTAAAACCACCCCGCACTCCCTAAAAATCATGCGTGTTTCAGTAGGGCATGATTACTTTTTTTGCGACTATTCAGGGGGTTGTTTTGTATCAGTAAGTTTTCCATCGTTCGCGTTGAGGCCAGCCTTCTTCGAGGTCGAACTTCAATTGGATGGTCTTGGAGCGGCGCAGCTCAAACTTCGGAGCTGCTGTTGAGAACACCGGTTCTGTGGTTAAAACAATGTCATAAACCACCCGTGATTGGGAATGGAATATACTATACCACCTAGAAAAACTAGGTGAAATTGGGGGATGGTTTATTGTTTTTTTCTTTTACCAGTTTTGCCATCTTAGCATTCGGGTTTCCTGTAGGGTTTCTTTGATCAAATTTTGGAAACCTGGTGTCATTATCGAACCAAGACTGTTGAAAGATAAAGTGACTATACCCACTTGGGAGGGTCATTCTTTGGGAAGGCCATGGGCTTTGAGCAGGTAACAAGATCTGAGCAAATGCCATTCGTCGGAAATCCAATTTGGGTGTGTGCAAGACCTGATGGACATGCATCCTAGAAACATTGTGATTTATTGTTGACATGTGCGGTTCAAAACCTGTGAAACCATATTCCGAGGGGCAAACATTATCAAACATTGACGTGCCAGCCAAGCAGCTCTGATGTTCACCAACCGGGGAGTGACTGTTTTCCATGTGGCTTCCATTTTTTGCTACGTTAGGAGGGGTAAGATTTAAGAATCCAGGAGAGGTGCAGAAGGTCGATGGAGTATAAAAAGGATTCTCTTCCCCACATGGCCCCAAGGTGGAATGGCAAAACGGATAGAAACTGCTTGGTGGTGACTGGAATCATGGAATTTTATGACTTTCCATTCAGATGGGAATGTCATCATCCCAACTGACTTGAACTCCATCATTTTACAGAGGGGTGGCTCAACTCAAAACCACCAACCAGGAAAGCTAAGCTTCTAGACTCGGATTTTCACTGTTTTTCCATTTGGAAAAGGGGAAGGGGATCAGATTGCACGGCATTGGCTCCAAGCCCACAGGTTAGCAGAGGTTTTTTCATGCTTTTTCCAGATCCTTCACCCGACTCCGGCGGAGAATCCAACTTCGGATCTTCCAGCTTGGGATATCACCAGATGGGGCGATCAGCAGGTCAAAGGTGGCATGTCCTTGGCCTTGGGTGACACAGTCTAGAATCGGATGTTTTCTGACTTTGGAACCCTCAACCATCCATGATACTTAGAAAGTTTATTTGCACTGCTAGGCGCTTGCAGGTTGGAATCGCGCATAGTTAAGACACGCCGAAGTTGTTTTGGCTAAAGACTTTCTGTGCTGGGCCAACCAGCCCCTTCCACGGGTTAGTTTTCCAGCCAATCTCTGAAATATTCTGGTTGGTTGTGACTGGAACCATGGAATCTTATTATGACTTTCCATTCAGTTGGGAATGTCATCATCCCAACTGACGAACTCCATCATTTTACAGAGGGGTGGCGAAAAACCACCAACCAGTCAATCATATCCCAATGATATCCCCATGATATCCCATTCAACCACAGTATTTTTGATGTTTGGTGGTGAGATCCCTGTTTAATACTTGGAGGGATTATCCCGGTTGGCTTTTCCATTCAAGATGGATTTCGGCCAAGGTCTGCCTGAGGCCTTCGATTGAAGAGATCCAAAGCGCCATCAATGGAGGAGCAGTGGCCCTTCGGTGTGCAAATCTGGATGTGAAAAACTCGCTGAAATCATGGCAGGGATTAGGGGAATCAGCCCCCAAATTGCCCAACATGGCCCAAACATGGCCTAACATTTCAATTATTTTCAGGTTGGTGAATCAATAGAACCCAACCAGGATCCCAATTGGGTTCTTACATTGTCATTTATGGTGTTTTCGGTTGCCTGAATTCACGGTGTTTGTGGGAGGCGGTTGGCAGCTTTCATACAAGGGATGTACTGTAAGATGTTTGATGTTTCTGCCGGTTCGTCATGCGCAATGTTGCTGCATGGTCAGGGCGTTTCTTGATGTTTTCATGTGGCCGCATCCTGAATGCAGTCAAAATTCAATACTGCTAATGTTAGTAGAACAATAATAAAATATAATAAAACAGAACACCAATATTTCTGTGGTCTTACCTGCCCATTTATGGTACGTTTATGTTAGCCATCGGAGATGGCTTACTACGCAAAGCCTCATGGAAATTCACAGCTCGTATTGATGGACTCCGATGCATTCGGGCCCAAGGCGGTACTGAAGTGTTCCAAGATGATCGAGGCTTTCTTGGGCAGTGTGGGAAACTGGCAGCTGCAATCAGGGAAGCCAATTTGCTATTAAGCGACCTGCTGGATGTTTCAAGAATGGCAGAAACTTACGGAAGCAAACTTGCACACGCTGCTGAATAGATAAATACTTATTGTATGTATGTATGTATGGATGGATGGATGGATGCATGCATGCATGGATGGATGGATGGATGCATGCATGTATGCATGTATGTATGTATATATATATGTACGCATATGCAAACATGTAAGCCACAAAAACTTGACCGAAACCTTTTTTTTGTGTTTCATGCTGGGTTTGGGCCCAATTTTTTTCGGCCCCATGAGACTGGTCAAGTCTGGCCGTGATCAGCAAAAGCCGGTTTTGATCAGTTTGAGGCGTGGGACACGGTGACCATCCCGAGAAATGTCGGCAGCTTAGGTACATCATTTAAATGTCAGATATGATTCATAATGTTTCATAAGTATATCCGCAACAACAGCTAAACAAATAGAAACATTGGAAACCTGGAAATTATGATCGAAGGAAGTTTTGAAGTCAAACTTCCAACAATATGGTCAGTAGAGAGAAGATGCAGGTGCGCGAAAAGGTAGAAAAGTCGCGAAACGCTGCGTTTTTCCAATGTTTGGTGTTTTCGGAGGCTAAAAGTAGGCTCGCTAAAGCGGCGGGTGCGGAGCCATCTGGGGAGGTGAGAGATCAAAAACTGCACACCATTGTGGCGCAAAGCACATCTCGAAGCCAAAGGCAAAAACACCTCATGCTCGGAGCTCGTTTGGAAGTTCAGATGTCGAAAAAATGCACGCCGCTGTGGTGCGAAGCACATTTCGAAGTCAAAGTGTGAAAAGCAGACCACGTTCCGACCACTGTTGGACGTTCAACCGCACGACACGACACGACACGAGACAAGACGACACGACAACAGCAACAACAACAACAACAAGAACAATAAGGTCAACAAGGTCATCAGCAACAACAGCAACAACAACAACAGCTACAGCTACTGCTACAACCACAACTACAACTACACTGCGCTACACTACACCTACGCAACACTACACAAGACCACACTGCACTGCACTACACTACACTACACTACACTCCATTGCACTACGCTACACTACACTACGATACGCCACACTACACTACACAATACAACTACACAATACAACTGCAACTAAAACTACCACTACAACTACAACTACAACTGCTACAGCAACGGCTGCAATACAACGACAACTACAATACGCTACACCACGCTACATCCAGCAGTTGTGGGTGCGGTGACCACTGCAACCAATCCAAAAAGACAACTCCAACCATTTTTCGGTCCTTCAGTGGGTTCGCTCTGCCATCCATGCATCACAACAACTCGCCTCTCCTATAGTTTCCTTTCTTTGAAATTTCCGCCACCGCCTTGTGCGGTACTACTGGTAATCAGGAAGGAAACATCACCCATACCATCCTGGAAACGCGCTCCTATCTTTTTGGGGGTTGCTATGATGGGAATCCATTTCCGTAAGAAAACGGCCCCAATGAAATTATGAAACTGGTGGTAAGTTTAATACATGTTCCAATCATTTCCAACCCAATTTTGGCGGTTTCATTTTCAACTTGATCAAACACACTCTGGTATACATCTGGCATCATTTGACCATATTTGACCTTTGGTCATTTTTAACGTGTTAAACATTTAAATTTATATGATATATATATATATTAAAACACCATCGTTGGTGGTTCTAGCAGCCCTTATGTTTTATGAAGATCGCCCCCAATACCGAGGTGCAACTCTTGTTGAATCCCAACCTACCTCCTGTCCGCGGAAGCGGGTCCAGACCTTCAGTGATACGGGGGATGAACAGAAGAGGATCATTCCTGATGATTTTTGGATGGTTTTTGGATGATTTTGGATGATTTTTGGATGATTCCTGATGATTTCTAACGACTTCAAGGCCGACTTTCTTGGGACGGTTTGGAAGAAAACATGCCGTTGGCAGAACTTTGAATTTGTGGTTGGGATTGCACCATCAGGGCAGCTATCACTAGATTGTAAACTTAAGAATTCCGAACCATCGGCCCGGACAGCACCAAAGTATACGAAAGTACACCCAAGTAACATGTTTGGTTGATATCCACCATGAGTCATGGTGTGATGATTTTACATTTTCGTTTTCGTATGAGCACCTCCCGCATCAGGTCACAAGGCACCTTCTATGATCGAGTGGCACAGGACAAGGAAATCCTTAAGGCCAGGAGCATTGGCCAGGTCGAGGTTTGGAGTTTCCATGCGGCTGGTCTTTTAAGAATGCCTTCATGTCCGAAAACATCAATTTCAAATTTGTTTTTTCGTTTGGATTTTGGGTTGCTGGACCCAACATGTTTCAATATGTTTCATCTAAGTTAACCTAATTTTTGATTTGGGGCAAATCTTCACATGTGCCATATATTTATTCATATTTGCCATGTTTGATGCCTTGGAATGATGATGTTTCGCCAGCAAACCTTAGCGATCTAAGGTGGTGTTGCTACTCACTGGAAGCATCCAGACAGTCCATTTCCCAGGGCGTCACGGGTGGAGGATATGCTGACTGGTATACGATCAGGATGCAGGCATATTTATCAGTTTGGTGGTTTGGAACATGAGTTTTGTTTCTCCATCTATTGGGAATTTCATCATATCCCAACTGACTTTAACTCCATGATTTTTCAGAGGGGTAGGTCAACCACCAACCAGTCATAATTAACCATCATTAACCACTATTAACCACTATAAACCATATGGATAGTCCAACCACCAACCAGTTATATATTTGATTTTACTTCCACATCATGCAATTTTGGAGTGTGTCTTTTTGGATTTTGAATCATCATAATCATCCCTCTCAGAATTGGCTCAAACCAGGTCAGATTTTGCGATTTTGTATTCCGTATTCTGGGATAGCGTTGCTTTCCTGCAGATTTTCCTTGCCATCAATCCAAACCTGGGCATTTAGTTCATGATTAAATGATTTCCAAGGTGTTTTTCTCAAGGTGTTTTTCTCACTTTTCCACATGCCAGGACTTAATGCAGTTTTTTTGTGTGGGATGATCTTGAACCATCGCAGCCTAAGGCTCGGAACGGGAAGGACGAATATCTTCAGGACTTTGAGCGCTGGAGTTGGCTTTGGAACTGCGATATTGATGAAGAGCACCTGGGATATCCTGGGGTGTGTGGCATCCGGCAATTTTTCGGTATGAAAGATAGGGGATTCACCATGATTTTCTCATGAAACATTGACACTTTAGTCATGGGATTGATGAACCATCTTGTAGGGATTTCATGGGATATATTGCTGGTTGGTTGCGAGTGGAACCATGGAATTTTATGACTTTCCATTCAGTTAGGAAAAATAATCCCAACTGACGAGCATGTTTTTCAGAGGGGTAGGTCAACCACCAACCAGATTGACATTTTAGTCGTGGGGTTTTTCTGAACCATGTTATAGGGATTGGGATATGGAACCGACAAAAAAGATGGCTATCCAGTGGTTGGGAAGTTGTGTTGCAAGCAGGAGCTATGGGGTATCAGTTCTGTTTCCCAAGCACATGAGAGTTGGGATGTTGGATCAATGATGAATGGTGACATTTTGTTGGCTTTAGAATGGTAACAGCATGTAACAATCATCAAACATCATCAAACATAGGATCTTACGGAATAAGAATAGTATATTGGCTGGTAAAAAAACATGTTCAGTTCATCCCTGCAATCCTTGCAGGGCATTATGCACCCTTAGAATAAGTTTTTGAATCCGGGGGGAAACCAGTGGTTGGGGCAGCTCTGATTTGTCACCTGTGACAGGATCCCACGTAGCTGTTTTGGAATCGATGGTTTTTTTTTGGGCCAAACTTCTACACCCAATGGTTGGTTGAATACACGAATGCTCGGTCGGTCGGAGGTCGTTTTGTATTTTTTTCTCAATTCTTTGACCTGTTCTTTCCCATCTTAGAATCTTTCCTGAGATAGTGGTTTCAAGTATGAGTGTGGCATGGAAAAAATGACGGATTCTGTATGAAAAGAAGTTAAGAATCCACCAGCTGCTTCAACTTTTGGCTCGGACAAATCTTTGACAAATCCCTGGCCCAAAATCCCACAGTTGTGGCTCCTGAACTTCGACCCTGGCTCCAATGCTCCAGGTATCGCAAGTTTTTGGCCTCGGAACCTTCGTTGGATGAATTTGAGGCAGGAGACAGCCTAGTTCCGTCATCCTTCCGTCATCGCAAGTCGAGCACCAGATTTTTTGACATATGTTGACCATGTCCGAGATTTTTTTGCCAGTTGATTTAGTAAAGAAACACATCTTAAAATCAGCAGTTTCAGCAGAGAACAGGACCACATAGTATCATAGGGCTTGGTCATCGCGGTATTTATTGGATTGTCAGCCATGACGTCCTTGATAGGCTCGACTTCGGTCCTTCGCACGTACAAGCCTTGGGTGATGGGCAAGAAAAGGCTGGAAGGATGGTTCAAGTAACCATCCATTTGTCGGGATATGTAAGAAACAATGGTATGATCCTCCATCAATTTGATATTTTACGTTATTGATATACATATATAATATATATAATTATATCATATATACCATCTGGTTATTTAACCATGGAAAACCACCATTTTTAATAGGTAAACCATCTATAAATAGGCAATTTTCCATGGCTATGTTAAATAACCAGAGGGTATATATTATTCACATGTGTTCAATCCACCGAGGAGTGGTCGTTCTGCATCTTGTCATATGGCGCCAAAAACATGTTTCACCCATGAGGCCTACAGATTGATGGATCATGATATGATCTGATGCTGGCTAACATGCTGCGGGTGCCGGCATGTTCCAACCACCTTGTTGGCTTTTATTATCAGATGTGTTTTGTTGTTGGTTATTCCTTCCCCTTTCCTTGTGGCCCAGTTGCAAAGATTTAGTGGCATTCTCCATGTTGTAATGTTGCTCCACCATTCTGGGTTGTTCAAACGCCATGCTTGTTGGTACAACCAGTAGACCCCCTACTTGGGTGCAGGCCCACTTAACTGGCTATATGGCCATAAGTAATAAGTTGTAGGCTTTACTTCTTGGAAGTGCAAGTCCAGTTTTAAGTGGATATATATATATATATGTATTTACACATAACACATCCATACTTATAAGGGTTGTATCCCAGCTTATGCGCGCTTATAACATTTTAAAAACATTTGTAGCCTCAGATTGAGCACCCCCCCAGCCCATCATAGTTAAATATGTTGATTTATGGTAGTTTTAACATGCCATATAAGCGTGGTTAAACCCATAGCAAGAACCGCAGCTGCACCTCAATTCCTCCCAAAATGTCAAAGGTTTGGACGACGAGTTTCAGCTGATCGATTCAAGACGCCAGATTTCTGCCTGGAAACCCAAAACAGAAGCGATGGGAATGAATGGGGAGGAATGGGAGGCGCTTGGTATTGAAAAATATTGACAACATCAACTGGTTGGTGGTTTGGAACATGAATTTTATGACTTTCCATATATATATATATTTTTTTTGGGGGGGGGGAATGTCATCATCCCAACTGACTTTCACTCCAAATTTTTTGGAGGGGTAGGTCAACCACCAACCAGTCAATCATATCCCAATGATATCCCAATGATATCCCCATGATATCCCATTCAACCACAGTATTTTTGATGTTTGGTGGTGAGATCCCTGTTTAATGCTAGGATCATCCGGGTGGCACTTGGTAGTTGATAACCCTGGTTTCAACCAGTTCCATCTTTGTCGGTTATCCCGGTTTTTTCGGTGACACCATTTTTTGCATCTTGGATACCCCATCTATACCCACCACATGATTAGCTGGGTCCTCTTGATCGTGGAAATTTCCACAGCAAAGCCAAAATCTTGCATCATTTTACCAAATTCAAGAGAAAAAGAACTCCTGAACGATTATTTCCACTCCAGAACGCTTTTTAAAAACTCCAGAACGCTTCCGAACGGCTTTGAACGCTTTTTGAACACTTTTTTCCACTCCAGAACGTCCGAAGTGTCCCGAACGACAAAAACCACTCCGGTGTTCTTTTTCCACACCAACCCCCAAAATCGATCTTTTTTGGGTTTGGAGTTAAAAAATCCAGTATTGGGAAGCTCCAGGTATCACTTATGACCTGGGAGGATCCGGGTGCGATTTCCGAAGATTTCAAGGTGAATTCACTGGACAAACATGACACATTCAGATCAACTTCAGATGTTGATTGGAGATGTACAACGCTTGAATCATATGAAATATCCAATAAACATCATTATGAAATCTCTAAGACATATTATCGCCAGATCCATATTCATGTGTTCATACTGACATTGTATCATACCTGTCAATAACAATTCATGAAATATCTAAGACATCCTGGTTAGCAAAGGTATAAAGTTATAAACCAACTTACCCTCTGCTATTTTAACCGCTTGTACACTACATTGTTGCCGGAGAATCATCGAACTAAGGCCATAGCATAGAAAAAATGTTAAGACACTTAAAGCTGTTCGCTTTATCCATGAATGATCCGATTATCCCCTCGAAATCAACAGGATATCCATGTCAATCGATTCATCGAAATTTAGAGACCAGTTTGGGAATGGAATTCCCATTGAGATCCCTATCCCATGACGGATCCATGGTGCTGCTATATATGGTAACATGGATCCCATCAATGTACCCCCTTTATGTTAGCATATATACCAGCACCATGGATCCTATGGGTATGAAATCATCATGAAATGATTATGAATATCCATGAATTCTCACCATCTCCGATATGCGCAGGCCCTATCTCTGCACACGGGCAGTTTGGCCAAAAGCCTCCGCGATCTCGCGGGCAGATGGAAGGACAATTTTGGTGCCCGTTGGTCGGATTTTGTTGTGATATTTTAGTAGGATATGTGGTACCCTATGGTAAACTAACATAGCTGTTGAAAATGGACCATTTATAGGTGATTTACCTGTTCAAATAGTGATTTTCCATAGCTATGTTAGTTTACCAGAGGGTAATTAAAAATTGGTGCATTTCATATGGCTATGAATGGCAATTAATGGATATGAGTGGCAAAAAAAAATCACTATTAATTGATTTTAGTATGGTGCTCATATGAATAACATGGATGATTTCTGGGTATTATCAACTAATGTTTATGGCTATCCTATGGTCATCCATGTCATTCATTTCATCCCTGGAAAATACTATGGTTATCCGTCATGGTTATGGTTATGGTTATCCTATGGTTAGTTTACGTTAGTTTCATCCCTGGACACATCTGGACACGAAATCTCAGTGAAGTCGAGGAGTCTTTTGCCAAGGAACTCCACTTGCAGGTGGGGTTTTCGGCACCGCATTGGCGAGTTTTTGGGGTTTTAACATGTTTTAACTGTTGGTTCAGCCGTTCAACTTGGCGAGTTGGTCTCAGGTTTTCGGATTAGAAACCATTTTCCCATAGTTTCTGGCAGGTTTTGGTTTTTCCCATCCGAGTTTGTCCAACTTTTTTCTCATCGCTTCTGGGCGATCTCGCCGTTCATCTCGCAGCCCGTGCTATCTACTGAGGCTTTCCAGCGTTTGGAAGCTCTCAGTGAGGTGATCAAATCGACCATGAAAAAGTTGAGTCAAGAGGTGGGAAAACCTGCGGTAAGAAAATCTGGAGATGCTGTGGACCAGAAAAATGAAAATTCTGGTTAATAGTGATTAATATCTGGTTGGTGGTTTCAATCATTTTTATTTTTCATGATATATGGGATAATCCTTCCCATTGACTAATTTTTTTTTTCAAGATGGTCAAAACCACCAACCAGATATGTTTGAATGGTGGTGAATAATGATCATTCATGGTAATCAATGGTGATCAATGGTGATATACCCCCTGGTAAACTAAGAGTTTTGCGAACTGGAACATCACCATTAGTTGGTGTTTCCTTCCCCCAAACCATATTTCTTATTTTGTTGGGAGTGGACATGTCTTGCTGGCAGCCCCCGAAAAAATACCACCTTTAATTAACAAGATACCGTTTGAAAAAAAACACAGCGTTTAAAGAGATGCGTTTAGTGGGAAATCTCACGATCCATGGTCGGTTTGTTGGGGAACATTTACTGGTTTAAGCCCCATAGAAATTTTGTTGGGAAATCGATGGCTTCCTGTTACGATTTTCCCTTAAACCAATCCATTGATCATGGGGATATAAGGGGGTCTAATATGATATGGTTTGATATGGTGATATAATCTATCCCTTCCTCGCTTCGCTGGTTGGTTGATTAATAGACGTTCCCCCCCCATTCAACAACCAATAGGTAGATATGCTCCGGTAATCAAACATGATCAAACATGGCTGGCTGCAAATTCGACCATTTAGTTCCTTGAATTTCCCAGCTTTAAACTTCCATTTATAGTGGATTTCCAATTGTCAAGTTTGATTACCGGAGGGTAAGGGGATGATATAATTTAAATCCCAACGTCCCATGGCTTGGATGGAATAATACGAATGGGATTCAATACTGTCTTATATATCCCAATGTTATATTGTTCATTATCCGTGTTTTATATATCATGTTGTTATATTATGTTATATTGTTATAAATATCCCAATTGTATTGTTGTATATATATATATAACAAATATTTCATGGGATTGTTTCGAATCTATGGTATTTTCCATTGCCACGGTTGCTTTCGGGAGGGCAAGAAGCCACCAAAGTCCATCAGCAAACGCATTCCCTTACTAATCCCTTTCCTCTTTCAGGAAACACCCCTCATGTAAACCATGGTCTAGAGGATTTACATTAATAGTTGGGACCATAGAATGAGGTGCATCTGATAAATTCGGACATTTATCCTCTTCCTTTAATATTAAACACCCCCTAAGTGGTCCCATATTGGTACCAAATCTGTGTAAATTCCCTTACTAAACTGGGGGATGTTAAAATGTTTCAACAGGGAAAGGGATTACTTAGTAATCTTAATTCATAGCAATATTGATATAAACAAATATGATCATAGACTTGGATGATGGGAAAAAAATAACCGGAAAGCCCCTTTTCAATTTGATGGTAAAAACCATGGTCTCCGGTGAAGATTTTCCCCAACAAACCAATCCAATGATATGATGAATGTGATATCATATGCCCATGGATCAATAGCTGTAAATGATCTATAAATCCCTTTATGGGGATTTATAGATGGATTTTCCACTATAAATTTCATAAACCATCATCCATTCTCCATGGCCAACCATGGCCAGAAACATCGGCTGCCGTTGAACCCCCGAAGGTGGCGGATGGCGATATCGAAGCGTTGGGACATGTGATGCGAACCCTTCGGGAGGCGAACGGTTCCTCCATCGGAGAGGATGGAGATATGGAGAGCGATAACTTACCCTCTGGTGAACTAACATAGCAATGGAAAATCACCATTTTTAATAGGAAAATCCACTATAAATGGCCATTTTCAATTGCTATGTTAGTTCACCGGAGGGTAGTGAGAGATGATACAGGATAGTACAGGATACCCTCTGGTAAACGTTTACGTAACTAACGTTTTGCTCTGGAAAATCACCATTTTTCATGGGTAAATCCACTATTTCTAAATGGTCATTTTCTATGTCGCAAACTGTTAGTTTACCAGAGGGTATCCAAAAACTTATCATCGATATTTCTGAATAAGTTCTTTATAATTTTATAGATATCTGAAATGGAAGGGATACCTGGATTCTATTCACTTCGGCGGTATCTCAGTTTTGAATATCATCGCCATCAAAAATTTCTCACCACCATCCCTCAAGGATTAGATTACAGGATGGGGCCCCCAGTCGATAGCGTGAACCGTTGGTTTATAAGTGGCTGAATTAACTATGTTTTATGGTAGATATAACGAACTAGTTAATGGTGGTTATTTCATGGTTTATAAACCAACAAGCATCACTGCGGGGCCCCATTCTGTACTGGATGATCATGATTATTATGTGGCCATTCCATACAATTTGATGTTGTTTTCTGTATTGTTAACATCCGTTGGATTATGTATTTTCTAGAACGGTCATGTTTGCATCATGTTTGCATCATGTTTGCATCACATCCGTTTTCCCACCCCCAATGATGTTGAACCGATTGAAAAGAAAACGGCAGGAAATGTCACTATTTCATACACTTATCCCAGAACTATCCCATATAACTATTCCATAACTATCCCATATTAATACTGCTTGGTGGTTTGGAACCATGGAATTTTATGACTTTCCATTCAGTTGGGAATTTCATCATCCCAACTGACGAAGTCCATCATTTTTCAGAGGGGCGGCGAAACCACCAACCAGATATGAGTCCCATGATATTGCTAGACCGGCTCGGGCGACGGCAAGGTCCGCGAGAAGCAGGGTGAAATTGAATTGGCGCCTCAGAGAAAACGTTGAAAGATGCCAAAGCTCTTAAGGGCCCATGATTTAACAAACGAATAATGGGGATATGGAATTTAGAGCTGCTTTATGATAGCTAAGTTGACTTATACATAACTTGGCAAATTCTATAAATTCTATGGTTTTTGTTCGGCTTACTGAGGTTTATAAACCCACAAACATAGCCGGGTGACCTTACCTTGCAGACTTTTTGAGGTGATGACGAGTTGATAATGGAGCAAAAGTCACTTTTACCATACCTGAAGAATATAACCATTGTATTACATCCAAACAGAAAACCACTTTTTTTTAAAACATTTTAAAGAAACCTTCGAAGATTGCTTGGACTTTATTAGTTTATCCTTGGCTTTGCCAAAACACTTCTCCCCCTTTGAGGCCAAGAATAAAACTTCATGATTTCCTGATGTTTTCCTGGAATCTGCTTGGAAAAAATGAAAAAAGACTGATCCCAGCTACCCTCTGGTTATGTCAAAATAGCTATTGAAAATGGCCATTTATAGTGAGTTTTCCCATTAAACATGGTGATTTTCCATAGCTATGTTAGTTTACCAGAGGGTATCCGACCATGATGTCCGACTATTTTAAGCTGTGTCAGATATCCTTCAGTTTTTCCGGACGCTCAGGAGTTAGAGCCGGTTGCGCAGATGTACGTTTGGAGCCCAGTTGACCTGGTGAAAGATGTGGAAACGATGGTTACCGAGATGGTCATGAAGGAATCGAGGATTGATGAAAAAAAACCAACGAATTGCGTAATTGATACCCTCTGGTAAACTAACATAATTATGGAAAATCACCATGTTTAATGGGAAAACTCACTATAAATGGCCGTTTTCAATAGCTATTTTGACATAACCAGAGGGTAGATGGTTTATGATGATCCCCTGAAAAAAGGTCCATTGAAAACAATTAGATGCGGGAATTGTCATCCTTGTGCCCTACTAATATCTATCGATGGAAAAAAAACACCTGTGATTTGGGAATGATAATTTGCCACGATGGCCTTTGAGTGCCATCATGGATCCATGGAGAGAATTTTCAGCAGCAGAGCACTGGCTTTTTCTCCGGGGGCCGGTTGATTGTTTTCTCGCTGCATGGCCAAACATGACTGGCTGGAGAAAACTTGGCTGGGATGATTTTCCTCTCGAAAGTAGATGTGCTTCCAACATTCGCTTTCAATTGATCTGCAATAGTGGTGCCATTTTTTTTGAACCAGGAAATGCTTGTTGTTCATAGTGGGGTTACATCCCCGAAATTTGACATGGAAACCTTTTGAATGCCAGATATTCAGTAGTACTCAGTCAAATCTTGTTTGGTCGTCAATTTTCAAATCTGCTCCAAGGGGTCCTGAAGGGTGACTTGTGCCCCTTGTGTTTTGAGGCGATGCTGGACTCCTATTTGCCCAATATCTTGGACAAAGAGGACGGCCATTTGAGCTGCGTTTTCTGTTGGTTTTTACCACTTTGGATGGATAGGTTTGCAACTCCAATAACTCTGGTTGATGATGAAATATTGATAGTTGATGATCTTAATGGGGGTCAGTGCAGCCAACTTGGGGGGCACCACCCAAGGTGGCTTTCTGCTACCATATCTTTACATTATTTGGGTTTCAGTGTCTAAAGTCTTTATATTATTTACCCTCTGGTTATTTAACATAGCCATGGGAAATGGCCCATAGAAATAGATGGTTTCCCTATTAAGAATGGGTGGATCTTTCCATGGCGAACTCTTAAATAACCAGATGGTATTTTAATGTATTTTATAATTCAGCACGGAATGTCAAACACGACAATCTCATGTAACATTCAATAGCGCAGAACAAATCGTGATAATCGCGGACAGATATGCAGAGTCACCCTTCCAATTGAACTGACTACTTAGGTTTCATCTTAATGCTTTGATGTCAATCTAATATAAGATAAAGACACAATTACCCTCCAACAATCAAACCTGGGCATGGAACATCCTCCTATAAATGGAGGCTTCCATGGACAATTGAACATCATCATTCATCAAATAAATGGGTGATAATGGTGATTAATATTAAATTAACGGGTGATTAATGGTAATTAACCACTATAAATGGGTGATTTAGAATTGCTATCGATTTCCGGAGGGTGCACAGTTTCAGCTAGAAACCAGTTACCATTTTTCCATATTTTCCTGGTGCAGGAGCAAGACGCCAGAAGCATGTTGCAGAGCAGTGGGTGATCTCAGGTTGGGAAAGTCAAAGTAAACCCCCATGAATTGCCGCGAAATCTACCCGGCAGTAAGTCACACTATAAACCCATATAACAGCATGTAAGTAAATGTAAGTGTAGATATATCTACCAGAATCTACCATCAAACACAGTAGACTTTACACTTCAGAAATCATATTCCCTTAGCCTAGTTAGTTCAACCATGATAAGCATTCAGTCTATAGTCAAGAACCAGCTTAATCATCATTTGGGTGCCCCTTTTCTCATGGGATCGGTTTACGGGACATTTGAATAAACTTGAAGCCAGAAACCTCCAGATGTCATGGGAAAAACCTCGGAAAAACTATGGCTTTTCCATGGGTTTCCGTGGGTTTCCGGCAGATTTTCTATGGTTTCACCATGTTTCACCGTGAATTTCTGCCAGATCTCAGCACCAAACCCCCCCGCAGATCACCTGCCATCGGGCCATGGTGGCCAGACGTCGGTCCCGGACCGGGGCCGTGGCAGTGCTGCTGCTAGCGGCGGCGGTTCTTAGGGAAGCCTTCGTGGTACCAGGCGGCTTTGCCATCGGTTTTGATGGGAAATTTCCTGTTTTTTTTTTCATTTGTTCATGGGATCTGGGTAAATTTGATCACGACCGAGCCCTGGAATCATGGTTTTTATAGGGAAATCATCCCCAAATGGCTGCAAGATTCAGGTTTTCGCAGGGCGACTGGGAGTCCGAAACATGTGGTGTGGCCTTAATTCATGATATTCATGGGATGAGTTGTGGAACTCTAAGTTTCAGACCATGCCATGTCTCAGTTTCACGTTAGGAACGTTCAGCCTTGTCATAACCCAGAGTCTTCATGGGATTTGGTGTGATTTTTCAAGTGGTTATTCAATTCAATTTTCACCAAAAACATTGTAAATATATATATATATATATTGTATACGCGCATTATTTTGCATTTATATGGATTGTATGACACATTAAAGATGATCATATTTCGATACTAATCATCCAATTTCCGTTGCACAGAACTCCAGGCGGTCGGCCCTTGCCGCGGGCTGCCCTGCGGCTGTTCCCAGCTCTGCTGGGCGCGGCGCCCGCCTGGGCAGAGAAGGGGGTCACCACGGCCTGGAAAAAACGTCCCGATGGCGGAGAGGACGGGGCACTGGGGAAAGGCTGGGAAAAGCTGCGAATGGCTGGGGAAACAATGGGAAACATGGGGGTTGATATGGGTTGATGGAAGTGTGGAAGTTGATGGAAGTGGGATATCGATTATGGAAATTCATGGGTGTTCTTTGTTTGAATTTTAATGATGTTGAGGGGTGCAGGAACATTGGGGAGAAGGCCATGAACCCATGAGGAGAATCAGACGATGGTTCCGGTAACGATGTTGATAGATGTAGATGAACGATGCTGGGGCATCTGGGGTTCACCTCGGTTGGGCACCAACACCGAATTGGAGTTTATCGATGTTGCTTTCCGGTTTTGCTTCCCAAAGTGGCTGTTGAACTTCAGTTCTTTGATGAGTTTCAGCCCAAAGCTGACCGAGAGAGAAACATAGCGACACAGTGGTTTTTTGGATCAGAAACGAACACCGGTAGGCGCATCGCGGTTTTCCGCGGGGGTCCTAACGAGCTGCTTACCAATTGTCGATGAAACATCAAATTCCACTGGTGGGGTCTAGTGGGGTAACTGATCCCTTATTCAGACTGGTGGTTTTGTCGTTTCTTGACTACACTAGACATGATCCATAAGCAAGTCTGTTTCTTGGTTTCCGACAGGTTTTCGTATGTTTACGTAGTTTCTGCCAAACGAAACATTGACAAGAGTAGTTTTGAATAGTTTTGAGGTTTCCCTCCTGGTAGTTTCAGTGAAAAATCTTGAAAAAAACATGGAAAAACTTCGGCCCTGGTGGGCTTCTCCTGGTTTTCTGGGGATGTTGCAGGATGAGATCCATACTGGCGGCGTTGAGTGGGAAGATGTGAAGGTGGGCACAGGCGCCATTTTTTGAAATCCAACGAGGCGAAAAAGGTGAAATTTCCTCGGAGTCTGAAAGTTAATCTATGTGAAAATCTAGTTGAAGATGCTTAGGTTGAGTTTTAGATCGTGACATGATCATGATCTGATGCTTGTGTCATTAGAGGATTGTATTTTTGCAGATATTGGATGATTTTGGATTCTTGTTCATTTGACAATCTATCAGTTAGTTTGTTATTTGTTTGTTAGTTTGTTATTTGTTTGTTGGTTAGTTAATTAGTTACTGTAATTAGTTAGTTTCCCTTCAACCTTGGAGCCAGCGTTCGCGCGCATCGCTTGCGGTCCACTGCCCCAGAATCATCCCGACGGTATAAGACGCTGCTTGCAAAGAAGCAGCGAAGAAATTGGCAATCAAAACTTGCTTCTATAATTTCGAGCAAGTATTCCTGGTATAATGGGCATCAAAAAGCATCAAAAATTTCTACCCATCCTGTAAAGTTTTTTTTTTTGTGCTACCCATCCAGTAAACGTAATAGCTACCCATCCATAATATATTGTTTCTTCCTGGTAGTTTTTTTTTTGGGTGTTACCCATTCAGTAATGACCAAGGTTTTCTTGTAGGAAGGTGGTGCCCGAAAGTGAGCCAGGTTGGTTAGATAAAACTATAGATATACTTAGGATTGGCTAGGCTTAGGTGATTCATGGTGATTCTTGCTTAAAGTTGGACGGGGTGAATAAGCCAACGTCTCAATGGCGATTTCAGGAACCTAAATTGGAGGTACCTACCATATATAAGGCCTATGTAAGGCCTATGTAAGCGGATGTACCCCCAAAATATTGCCTTATATGGTACAGTACCTCCATTTCAGGATCCTGGAATTCCCATTGAACGTCTGAAAAGTTCAGATTCGTGGTTGTTTCCACCCAGTATCCCCCAGACTCGGTGACAGGCGCTAGCCCTCAGATTGGCGACCAAATCGGGCTCCGTTACGTGCTGAAGGCCTATGTACGAGAACGTGAAGTGATCGTGGAGGACAACACCAAGGGCAAGGCCAAGGATTTCAGGTTTGGAGTTGGTCAACTCCTACCAGGCATGGATGAAGCCTGGAAAATACTTCGATCTCTGGTAATCTATGTGGGGAAACAGCATAAACAACCATTTTTACTGTAATGATGATCGAATTATAGTATGGCTAAATGGGCAATTTTCAGAGGTTCCAAAGCTTAGATTACCAGAGGCTATATGTTGAAGTAGTTCTTTTCCTGGGGGGTTCTTTTTTTGCTGGATGGTTTTTGTTTCATTTTTCCCACCTCCTTCCACATCCAGTCACCTGACCAACATGCTATCTATTCAGTTGACTTTTTTACCTTTCTGAGCAAACAATTTCTCAAGAAAACTTAAGTTCAAACTTACATAAGTCCTCTAAATTAATTGCTGATGCGCATCACCATCGTTCTGGGCTGCTTCACTTCTTGCCGCTCTTGCCGGCTGGTTTTTCATCTGTACAAAGACCAAAAACAAGCACAACAAGCACATGTTTTTTTTAAAAAAATAGACTTCACTCTTAATCCTCTTGATCCAAAAGCCTTCACGTTTCATCCTCGTTTCACGTCCGTTCTGAGGAGATTTTGCTCATTGGAACCACTGGAACCCCCCAATGTTTGCAAAGTTTCCACTAACCAAAGCCGGAACGCTCCATCAACATGTATAATATGCATTAATATACCATGAGTCTTAACATGAATATAAACATAATATGAAATGAATCACAACAATTCAATATAAACATACCGCCCTGGTTAGTAAGGATGACTGTTCCAAAATGATCTTATTTTAGCTTGGTCCATCATTGCAACTAACCAGACTCCGTCGCACCCCATCCCATCCAATCCCATCCCCTTCTCATTGTTATAACCGTTGCTTTAACCCCCACAATATAACCGATATATGAGCCCTATAGCTCTGGTTAGGAAAATCTCTTAACTGAGAAAAGACTGCGCTGCTGCGCTTCCAAGATTTCCATACATTTCCAACATCCACATATAGCTGTAAATAAATGTCATCATTTTATTTAGACATCATCCACCATCATCCCATGTCCATCCCATCAGGGTGTGTCTGAAAAGGGGTATACCCCAAAAATCCCCTGAAAGTGGCTATTTGAATAGGGAAAATGATGGGAACATGATGAGAATCTACTGGATTTCGGGTGACATGTTGTCCATCTCGCAATGGATTGGTTCCCATTTGTTTATGGGGTGTTCCTGTAAATTTTCCCCAACAAACCAATCCATTGATATGATGAATGTGATATCATATGCCCATGGATCAATACCTATAAATTATCTATAAATCCCGAGATGGGGATTTATAGATGGATTTTCCATGATAAATTTCATAAACCATCATCCATCATCCGTATATTTTTCCATCGGATCCGAAAAAAAAACCATGGTCCAAAATCACAGAATTGGATGATGGGAACATTTTAACCGGAAAGCCCTTTTTTTTTTTGGTAAAAACCATGGTCTCCGGTGTTCAGATTTTCCCCAACAAACCAATGATCAAAATATGGTCCATCTCAGGAAGGTATTGCGGGGATGAAGACCGGTGGCGTCCGCAAGCTACGCATCCCGGGCAACTTGGCCTTCGGCGAGAAGGCCTTGCCGTCGGCGCCCGGGCGCATGGCGCTGCCGCCCTTCCAACCGGTGGAGGCGGTCGTCACGTTGGATTTCATTCCGGGGGCAGAGCCTTGGGCCTTGGGAAATGTGGTGTTTTTGATGGGGTTTTTATGGGTTTTTTAAGGGGGTTTTGATGGGTTTTAACTCCTCTGGTAATTTCACATGGCTATGGAAAATGGCCTATATTCATAGTTGATTTACCTATTAAAGATTGTGATTTTCCATAGCAAACTGTTAGTATACAAGAGGGTATGCTGTTTTTGTTGGTGAAAACATGGGGTAAACTATGGTAACTTCGAAATTTATGATCATTTTCTATTGTAGGAAGAAATATGGAAGTCACTTTGCAATGCTACGATTTTATGAGTTCAGTTTTTTACAAAACAAAAGTTGGCAAACCATGGCAAACCTAAGGATGCGGTCTATGACTATGGCGAGATGGATGAGGATGGGGACGGGGGACGGCGATGGTTGCTTTAGCTGCGAGTTGGATTGGGATACCCTCTGGTAAACATACAAAAAACTATGGAAAATCACAATTTTCAATGAGTGAATCCACTATAAATGGCCATTTTCAATGGCTATGTGACAAATTACCAGAGGGTACATCTTTTAACTTACTATAAATTATATGTGTGTGCCACATTTCCCCTGTCACTATTTATTAAACACCGCACCGGCAGACATGGCTGCCATCCATTCAATTCATTTCTTGCGTGAAAGTCCTGAAAATGCTCCGAGTCGCCAGGAGAAGTGAGAAGATCGGGAGCTGCGATGATCTGAATGAGATATTTCTCAGTAAATCCAGAGGCGTTTGAACACTTTTCCATGACTCGACATCTTTTCGCATGCGGCCTGATGGCCTAATGCCCCGGTCGGACGATTCATTGCAAAAACAACATGAGCGAATGATGGGGGGCGGCATGCTGAGACCCGGTGAGACTCGCTTCATGTTCAAATGCAAAGAATTAAACATTGTGAAAGATGATGAAAGATGATGAAAGATGATGAAAGATGATGAAAGATGATGAAAGATGATGAAAGATGATGAAAGATGATGAAAGAATGTAATCCATAGCGGGAAAAAAAGATATGAATTGGCATGATACCGGAAACATTCATAAGACGTCTTACGCATGGAGGTGAGGGGTTCCAGTTTTGAAGTTTCAGCGATCCTGTATGGTACACACCAGGTTCACAGCAATTGCTTACCCTAAAACGCACCATATATCTATGACCCTGTAGATAACAATGTAGAAGAACCGTATTCTACAAGCCGTTTTTTTTTCATCGAATAACATTGAGGTTTCCTAAAATGGGGCACCCCAAGTCACCATGGGTTGCAATACTTTTATATACCAAGTCATAGTCATCCATGACTTGGATGATTTGGGATGCCATTAAGAAACTTCCACATTTGGTTCCGTTACTCCTGGCTTTGCTACCATAGCAACTGTCAGTTTTATTTTCCCCCTCTGCACATCCATTGCAGTGCCTTGGGGCTCCCATTCATCTTGATTTATAGCCTAGTTGTTTCGGCCTGAAAAAGGCTAAACTGCTAAACCTCATCATGAATGAAACGGCCCTCAAGGTTGGACCAGATTGCTTGCTGAGAGTGAGACGCGCCATCTGGACGGATTTGGGAAGTGCGATATTGTCAATGCCTTGATGGAACCATTTTGAGAACCCGAAAACCCCACTGGTTTTGCGGGGAAATATGGGGGAAGCAATTGGAACATGGATTGATGACTCAGAGAACGAGATCTTTACCGTGAATTATGCGAACTACGTTTTTTTGCTGTAGAGTCTCTCTTAAGCCAGCGAACATGCCTTTTTGCCATCGGGGGAATGCAAGGGGGATGCAAGAACGTGAGTCTCTTGCAGTGTTTCGAAACCGGTTTTTCATTGGAGACGGGACGGGGACAGTGACATCCAACTGACTGGATATATCGTTATTTATCATCAAATTGTAGGAAACTGAGCCCGGACCACAAACTGGATGTTTTTTTTTGACGTGTTTTGGGCGATATCTTGAGTTGGCTGAAGGGAAAAAAAACCATACACTCATTGGATTTAATATTGGCCCTTAACAAAGGCCTTAATTATCCAGTAGAAAAATCATCTTCAGGACACTATTCAACTCAAGTTCCACGTCCAATTGCAGGGGCTTTTTGGCCTCCAAAAAGCTGAAGAATTTAAACCACTTCAAGGCTGCCCTGGTCATCAAACATGGCGGGTCGCTAAAAAATAATTGAACTGAATGGGCATTTGAGTGAGAAGATTATCTCTAAAAATGATCCCATTCATAGATGATTTCTCCCTTGAGACCTCCAAATTTATAGGGGATTGTCAATCTTTCCATGTTCGATTGGGTAAAGCTGGAGCCAGGAGCTCACAGTGAAGCAGGTTCAGTGTGGAACTTGGGACTTGTCGCATTTGGCAGATGTTTTCTTGACATGTTTGGTAATTTGACATAGACATACATCCATACAATGTGAGGCCCCCCAGTGATGTTTGTTGGTTTATAAGCCCCAGTAACTATAGTTATAAGTACCATAAACCATAGTTATTGAAGTTATAAACCATACCCGTAGTACCGCACAAGGCGGTGGCGGAACTGTGAATCACGGATGGCAGAGCGAATCCACTGATGGACCGAAAGGTGGTTGGAGTTGTGTTTTTTGGAATGGTTGCAGTGGTTGCAGTTTTCACCTCACCACAACTGCTGGATGTAGTGTGGCGTAGTGCAGTTGTAGTTGTAGTTGTAATGGATGGAGTTGTAGTTTTAGTGTCGTGTAATTAGTGTAGTGTAGGTGTGTTGCAGTTGTAATTGTGGTTGTGGTGTAATTAGTGTAGTGTAGTGTCCTAGACCGTCTGTGCTTTGCGCCACAGCGGCGTGCACTTTTTCGACATCTCAACTTCCAAACGTGGTCCGATAATGATGTGTTTTGTACATTTTGACTTGGAAATTTGCTTCGCGCCACAACGGCGTGCACTTTTTGAACATCTCAACTTCCAAAAGTGGTCCGAACCTGGTGTTTTTTGTACATTTTGACTTGGAAACGTCCTCCACGCCACATCGATGTGCAATTTTTCATCTCGCATTTGGCCACATGGCTCCGCACCCGCCGCTTTAGCGAGCCTGCTTTTTGACCCTCCGGAGCCACGAAACATTGGAAAACAACAGTGAATCGCGACTTTCCTACCTTTTCGCGCACCTGCATCTTCTTTCTTCTGACTCTTTCTTCTGACTCTTTCTTCTGACTCTTTCTTCTGACTCTTTCTTCTGACTCTTTCTCTTCTCTGACCGGACCTTCTCCCTTTTTCTCTTCCTCTTCCTCTTCCTTTTCCTCTTCCTCTTCCTCTTCCCCTCCCTTCTCTTCTCTTCTCTTCTCTTCTGATCTTCTCCTCTCTTCTCTTCTGATCTTTTCTGATCTTCTCTTCTCTTCTCTTCTCTTCTCTTCTCTTCTCTTCTGATCTTCTCTTCTGATCTTCTCTTCTGATCTTCTCTCCTGATCTTCTCTTCTGATATTCTCTTCTGATATTCTGTTCTGATCTTCCCTTCTGATCTTCTCTTCTGATATTCTTCTCTTCTGATCTCTTCTCTTCTGATCTTCTCTTCTTCTCTTCTCTTCTGATCTTCTCTCTCTCTCTTCTTCTCTTCTCTTCTCTTCTCTTCTCTTCTCTTCTGATCTTCTCTCCTGATCTTCTCTTCTGATCTTCTGTTCTGATCTTCCCTTCTGATCTTCTCTTCTGATCTTCTCTTCTGATCTTCTCTTCTGATCTTCTCTTCTGATCTTCTCTTCTGATCTTCTCTTCTGATCTTCTCTTCTGATCTTCTCTTCTGATCTTCTCTTCTGATCTTCTCTTCTGATCTTCTCTTCTGATCTTCTCTTCTCTTCTCTTCTCTTCTCTCTCTTCTCTTCTCTTCTCTTCTCTTCTCTTCTCTTCTGATTCTTCCCACCTCTGCTTTTCCATCTGTCCATATTGTCGGAAGTTTGACTTCTAAAACTTCCTTAGGCAAGCTTTGATATACAGTGTGGGTAAGTCATCTATAAGCATAGCATTTCCCATATATATATATTATATATATTTATTTATTTATTTATTTTATTTAAACATATACTTATTTATTTAAACATATATCAGAGGGTATGGGGCAAAGCTGAGCAAGCACCCTTGAATAAATCATTGAATGGCTGTTTTCGCGACCTCGGGGTGAGGGGATTTAGTTCTGGGGCTCGATATCTTGAGCTCAGATTTCAGATCTGTACTTGGTGTTTAGGCGCCTTTGTGTCATGTATCTCTAAAATTGTTCTCTCCATCCTCCAGTCTTAGTCTTGGCTTTTCTTTGGTCGTTTTAGGTCATAGCAACACACGAGGGATAGAGACTGCAGACTGCCTCTACATAGGCACAATTGGGCAGAGTTCAAATCAAGCATGTAGGCGAGGTTTTTGACTCATGAATCCACGAAGTTTGCACCCTGAACCGCTGCCCCTTTCAGCTTTGGATAATTACTGTAAGAGAGATGCAAAAAACACACGCAGATGTAGTATCACAATGCTCCCTGGCGCGCCTCGGGTCAGTTTTCACCCGCTGCCCGCCCATCCGGTGCATCCTGTGCCCGTGCATCCATCCCAGCATTGTCCGTGTCAGGCCGTGCAGTTGCCACAGAGCATAGCCCCTCTGAGGCCACTGCCGCAAACGCAAACGCCGCAAAGCTTGGAGCCTCGGAGATTGGTGGCGCGGGTGGGTTCCCTGGCACCAGCGGCGCCAGGTGGAGCAGCCGCGGCTGCACCAGCCGCGGTGCCAGCTGCCGCGGTGCCAGCCGTGGTCCCAGTGCCCCGTAGCCAGGCGGCGCCCAAGTCGTTGTTGCGGAGGAGCACAGCGGCCGCGGCTGCCGCGGCTGAGCCGTGTACTGCGCTGGCGCCCTTGGCGCGTGAGGCGACAAATGCAGGATGTGCGGCTGCAACTGGAAGCAGGAATTGTCCCAACGGGGCCAGGAGAAGAAAATCTTTGCCTGAACCTGAACTTTTGGTGGTGAAGCTTTTCCGCATATGAACTGTTTCTATTCTTGATTCTATTCTTGATTCTCTTCATTGGAGATTGATTTTCTATAATTTTCTCACAGCGATTTTGCCTCAGGCAGAAGCCATGACACAACAGAGTCAACATGAGTCAACTCTAAGGAAATTCCTGTACCTATCGCGTTTGCCTGCTGCTGGCTGGTTGCAGACACCTGCCCAATACCAACTCAGCCTTCATGTCGGGGAGGATGCACGAAACGACCCTCCGAGCCGGCCAGGGGTTTACGCCACAGCTTCAGTGCGGCCCGGTTGCGGGTCAGTTTTTGAGGTGTTGGAGTGGCCAGTTCAAGTTTGTTCGCTTACATGGATGGGGAAATATATTGACATGGGATATATTTTGACATATTATGACATAGGACAGGTTTAACCATGTTTAACCTATCGGTTTGCGAATGTTGAAGAACAAAATATATTGATATTCTCATTATATGATTATCATTATCATTCTCATTTTTTATTCTTATGTCTTAATTAGATCATTGGAATTATGACTACCATACTTTTTTACATCATAATTTGTGCGCCTGATGTCTATCATGGCATTCTCATTTGCATTCATTTATCACCGTGAAATCACACTTTCATATAGTACCAAAGCATATCATTTAAGTTCATATTGCATCACACCATCGTTCTTATTTATTTGCAGTGATGTATAATTATCATATCATACCATAGCAGGAACCGGAACACTAGCCCATAAGCTTCATGATATCATACAAGGGGAGGCCCGCATAGAGTTGGTTTATACGCCCCATTAACCAGAGCCATTTTCCCCATATAGAATGCACCAAATTATTGCGTCTACTTTGCGATTTCCTTTACGATGACCTCACCTTGTAGTATCATCATGGAGCCCCTTCTCTGGGCCACGACATATAGAGCGATATATAATGATATATATATATATATATTTATATTTATATTTATATATATATTTAAATATATTTATATATCTCCCATACCACATCGTCACATACCATCATATATAGCATCATATACCATCATAAACCATCATATAGCATCATATAGCATCAGATCATGTATAACATACCTCTTTATATAACACCCATGGTTCCATGATCATTGTCAAATCATCACTGTGGGCAACCCAACAATGCACCTACCACTTGGGAATGGTTTATAGCACCCGTATAGCACCCATAACAAATGGTGATGACGTCATGGATGTTCATAATTTTCATCCCCTAAAAATGGTATAGGTATTGATCCAAGGCCATATGATCTATCTTTAAAAACCATAAGCCATAGATTTCATGATGGGAATCCAATAAAAACTATAGATATACCACATTCATCATAGCATTTCCCTTTTTTTTTCATTCCCGGCCATAGCCTGTGCCTGTGGCCAAGGCAGGCGGGGCCACCACAGGCTGTTCCCCCAGAGGAGGCTCAGTTGAAGGAACAGATCGCCAAAGCCGTGGAGGCTGGAACATGTCTGGGAAAACGCGGGGAAAATCCATGGAAAATCCATGGAACCTGATGATTTTCGTCCGTTCAACCATCGGGATTTTCCATGGAAAATCCATGGAAGACGTTTGTTCAATTGGTGGAAATCATGCAAAATCCATGGGAAAGATTGTGAAGTTGGAGAAAATGAAGCAAAATCACTTCGAGAAATGGGGAAAAATGGTGATTTCACCAACAACAACGGGGATTTCACCAATAAGAATGATGGTATGATGAGGATATGATGGGTTAGGATTGGTTTATGTTTACCATAAATGGATTGGTTAAGTGGTTAAATGTGTTCTTCATCCATCGGACATGTGGGATTTCGCCAGTGAGTGCTGGTGAATCCTGGGTTCATGTCATCAATGAGCTGAAGGGAAAGTTCTTAAGGAAACATCAGGGCAATTGGTTGAAATTTTGCCCACAAAAATTGGGATTTCACCCTAATGGGATATAATGGGATATGCTTGCTTGGGAAATGGTGGCGGCCTTCAGGTTGAAGGTGATTTTGAAAAATTGTGTGTACAATTTGTTGTTAATATTTGATTGTTAGATGATGATTGTTGAAGTCCCTGCTTACTAAGATATGATGGAGTTGTATGATGGGTCATTACTTACACTTGGCTAATCTTAGCTACCCTCTGTTAAACTAACACAACTATTGACAATCACCATTTTTAATTGGTAAATCAACTATAACTGACTATTTTCAATAGCTATGTTTGTTTACCAGAGGGCACATTAAATTGTGTAATTACATATTCATCCAGCAACTGGCAACTTCAGCCGATAGTGAGTTGGTCGGAAATTGTGGCCAGCGATCCTGGGAAAGCCGCCAGCAAATAGTAGCAAGGCTATCCCGTGATATGTCAGGGGATGACAGGCCAAACCATTGACACATCCATTGGTGACTTCTTAAAATGTAAGAGCCCCGAAAACCATGGGTTTCAATATTAAAATGTTCTAATTCTAGATGCATTGGGGTACCAACGTTTTCGGAAAGCTCCACTATGTCCTGCAGGAGGCATGATTCTGAGTCCTAACTGGTCACTTCAATACCTGTTGATGTTCATCATTTCTACTTCCCAAGATCATTGGAGATGATATTCCCAGATATTGGGCACAAAATCACTATTTAGAATTTCATGATTGGTAATGTCATGTAATTTCATATCCCCAACAGGTGTTGGTTCGAATTTTCATCAAATTGATGAGGCGGTATCCTGCCCATAGTCGCTCAAAACGGTACATCCCTTTCATTGATTGAAAAGAGCGCAGTGGTAGCATAATGTGAGATATATATTTTGAACAGGTATGCCCAATAACTCTTTTAATGCATGTGTCATAAACCCTAGTGAAATCGGGTTTTCAACTGGTGTGTAGCCATCATTCGCTGTAGATATATCTATCGTAAACACATTAACAATCATCATAATTGGGACGGATTTAAATCTATAGATAGATAGTATATATTATATTTCAAATATCATAAGCCAATATCACAAATTTTACATATTACATATATTTTAGTCATAAATGATATCTTGAGGTATTTATAGACATTTCATGAACATAATTACCTATATGATGTGTCATGAATAGTTGAAATACTTTAATCATCAATATCATACTGATTAACGTATAATGATATTAATATAAGTATTACCCCATTGTAGATATTAATGTAACTATTATCCCATTATAGATATTAATCGATTAAATTCCATTTCAATTCCATTACATCCTTCTTAGATCACAATGATTACCATAGCTTATAATTTTAGATATATAATGATTACCCATGATTAGTGAAAGATTGACCTATATATACGTATATATACATATATAGATTAAACGATTCTCATGATATTGATCCAAGAACTATAATTATCTAATATATGGATAGATATAATATGATATTGATCCAGGATAATTTGATATTCAGATATTGATTTTGATCCATTACCTTCTGTTTATTTCACATAGCCATGGAAAATGGTCCATTTATAGGTGATTTTCCCAGCTAGAAACCTCCATTTATAAGGGACTTTCCATGGCTATGTTAAATAACCAGAGGGTATTCCATTATGATATTGATTTGAAACTCCATTTAAATTTCATTATGATATTGATCCATGGCCTCAGATTAATTTAAAATGATGATTAAAAGTGATTCATGAGATTTCATTATGATTAAATTCCGTTCGAAATCCCATTAATGGTACATTCCCATTAATACCTTTATTTTCCCAGAGGGTATTCCATCCCAGAGGGTATTCCATTATGATCTTTCACTTTTCCTATGGCAGGCCATGACCGCCTCAACTCCCATGGGGGCTTCCTCGGCTCCCATGGAGTGTCGCTTCAAGTCGCGCCTGGCGGTCCGCCTTCAGGACGCCGGGCCGGGGCCGGCGGCCGGCGGCCCGGTGTACTTCCGGGTGGATGCCTGGGCAGCGCCTTGGTATCGAAAGGCAAAAACCTTGGAAAATGAGGCCCCCCAGTGATGTTTGTTGGTGTATAAACCATGAAATAACCACCATTAACTAGTTCGTTATATCTACCATAAACCATAGAATTCAGCCACTTATAAACCAACTGAACGCTATCTTGTGGGCCCCATCCTGTTGCAAAATGATAGACAAATGCATATAAATAAACACAAATAAGCATATATAAGTGTGTATATATATATATATGAAACACAACAACAGTGGTGTCTTGGATTGAGCTGGTGATTTTTTGGTGGAGTTTCCTGGGGAAATCCACTAGACATGGAGAATCTATAGGCAAGATCTAGTAGATGCATTAGCAGTTGATCATCATTATAGCCAATGACTGGCTCTAGTGGATCCACTTTATCAATGGCCATTTCAGGTACCTAAATTGGAGGTACCTACCATAAGGCCTATGATTCACACTAAATTTCAGGGAATATCACCAGAAAATATGGTTTTTTATGCTACACTACCATTATTTTAGGGTCCTGAAAGTCCCATTGATTGGTTTTTGGATCGAAATCCATAGGGAAAAAATTTGGAAACTGCTGGAATCGTGACTGATAGGGATTAAAAAATATCATGGGGATGTTGGTATTTAAAGAAGTCCCAATTTTACTAGAGAACATTATAAAGGTTCATAGTGATTAATGGAACATGACTTCTATACTGTGTCTTGGACAAATGCAATCCCATCTCCAGAAAAATCACTATGATATTTTATTCATGAGATATATATATATGTGTGTATTATATATATGCACTGAAAGATAGACCGATAGATACATAGATAAGGACATACAATGGCTTATCAACGAGCTACAAAGACCACATTGTGATAAACACTACTTTTGGTGCAAAACCACATGTTCTGCGGGTCATTTGGCGAGGTGCGATCCCAGTAATTTTCCCAAGCAGCAGGTGACCGACAAAAACCCTGCATAGAGCTACCCCTCGGTCACTGTATAAGTTGGTTTATAAATCCCATGAGCTATTTTTATGTTTATATATGTTATATATGTTTAAATTCCCCATAGTTACCTAATTTATAAGTCCACCTAGCTGTCATTTGGGGGCCTCACTTTGTATCATCCCTCATTTGGATTATTTTGGAATATGATATCCCACTTACCACATGATCCTGTCATTTGGGGTGCCCAGGTAACTCCCGGTCTCTTCAGCAAGCCTTCAGCACCAGTGCTGTTTGCCCGTGCCTTTGTTCCCATCAACGATGCCAAGTATCACCGCCGCGCCTGTACTTGGCCAATGATTGATGCGCAGGGCCAGGACGTGGCATACCTGACCTGCGAGTTTTCCTTTGCGCGAATCCCTTCACCCGTGTCCGAGCTCACAGCTTCGGCTGCGGGGAATGCGGTCAGTTTGGCATGGCTAGCGTCCAATGAAGATCGGGTCGTGCCCATCAAGGGATATCGCATCGATTCGCGCTGCTTGGGCCGGGGGAAACGGGCGCCCAACAGCACTTGGCAACATGAAGGGGATGTTGATGCGCGCAGCACGCGCTTTCAAATACATGGTTTGAAACCTGACACGGTCTACTTGCTGCGGGTTTGCGCAGTGAATGAAGTAGGATTGAGCCGCTTGATTCGCAAATAGCATGATTTTGAAACTTCGTTGGAGTGTCGTTTCCTGCCAATCATATCCAATTATCAAGTATGGACCCACCAGACACATCCAAAAACAACACAATTCATCCTGTCAACTTCCAGCCAACACATTTCATTGTTGCGCCAAAGGGCGTCTCAGCTCACGGCTCCATTTTGTGGAAGGGCCTCAGTGAATAACCCCTGCTCCTGGAACAAATCCTCAACTTAAACCCGTTAGTTTCCTGTATTTGTGTATGATCTCCAATCTCTTGATTTTGGTTTTCTATATTTCAGGTTGGTCAATATCAGAGCTAAAAATTGGTGAATTTCTAGGTCCCTTCCCCTCTTTTGGTTCGCATGATCTTCCAATGGTTAGATCTTCCTATATCATCACCAACATCACCGAGCCAAAGGGAGTCATGTAACAACATCAAGACATCACCATGTTTAATCCTTTTTTCACACATAACATGAGGACACCCCAGAAACATCACCGAAAACTCAGGGGATTTTCTGCAAGGTGAAGCCGCAGAGCTGGAAGTGAAGACTGGTCCCTGCGCTCCAGCTGGCTGCGGCCCCCCACGTCTGGCTGGCTGTGCCGGTCCCGTGTTGTCCGTTGAGTGGGACAGCCCCATCTACGACGGCGGAGCGGAGCTGGTGGCGTATCGCGTGTGGGTGCGGCCATTCTCAGCCACGGATGCGGATGAGGGTGCCCAGATGCAGGGGATCTGGGAATGGTTGGGATATGTTGGGATTTTAAAGGGTTTCGGACAGGATTCGGACATGTCGGAGTCGCATTCTTCCTTTTTTTGGTGCATTTTGAGGGATGGAATTTGGCGGATACCCCAACGGTTGAACAGCTGATAACAGCTTTTTTTTCTCCGGGGTTGACATTATGTTAACATTCTGGTCCGAAGAAAAAACCGAGGGGACAGGCAGTTTGGGGGAAATGATGAACTGTTTGGAAGATCACCCACTGGAGTCATGGGATCGTGGTCTCCAGATCTCCCACATTCTAGGCCCATAGGCCCTTGATGGCTGATGTAGGTGCAACTGGCTGATGTGTGGTTTTCTGGGTAGTGAGTCCCCTTTGAGAGATAGCTTATCCATGGATAAGTGGGTTATAACCCCACTGAACCGATCTAAGCTGTGATGATCCTCCAACCCCCATGGATGTACCAGGCAGTTTCTATGACAGATCGAGGCTGATTTCTAGCAATGTTTTTCCAGACCTCCAAGCAGCAGCATCAGAATTGGCTCTGTAGGGGAAGTCTGATAAGTCTGATTCGATTGACATTTTGGAACCATGATTCGATTTTTTTCGGATGGGCATGCGCCAAGCAGTCATGTCCAGCCTGTCCACCGCGCCAGGTGATTGGTTGGAGGTGGGTCATGTGAAACACAACAACAGTGGTGTCTTGGATGTGCTGAGCTGGTGATTTTTTGGTGGAGTTTCCTGGGGAAATCCACTAGACATGGAGAATCTATAGGCAAGATCTAGTAGATGCATTAGCAGTTGATCATCAATATAGCCAATGACTGGCTCTAGTTGATCCACTTTATCACTGGCAATTTCAGGTACCTAAATTGGAGGTACCTTTAGGCACCTGAAAAGCTGCTAACTTTAGGCATTTCTATATTAAATATTAAGTGGTTTCCAATCCATGGGGGGTACCCCCGAAAATCATCCATTTCAATAGGATTTTCCATGAAAGAAACCTTTCATGTTGGGCTTCTCCCAACAGAAACCCTAAGTGGAATGGATATTTTTTGAGGCCTGGCACAGAATCGCACCAAGGTGTTCAGCGAGCTGAGATTCACACTGAGGATCTCGATTCATCCATTGGACGTGCCTGGAGTTTTTCTTGGGATTGATGGCTTCGCGAAGTTGGGACATGTTGGGAACATAGATATGCTTATCCGATTGGTTGATTACCCTCTGGTAAACATACAAAAAACTATTGAACATGGCCATTTATAGTTGAATTGGAGTCCCATCACCCATCATGACTGGTGGGACCCCCAAAAAAATAAATGGATTTCCCATGACTGGTGGGCATCACATACTGGTTGGTGGTTTCAAACATGAATTGTACTGTCCAAAATATATGGGATAATCCTTCCCATTGACTCATATTTTTCAAGATGGTAAAAACCACCAACCAGGATGGCTTCGCGAAGTTGGGAAATGTTGGGAACATAGATGTCCTTTCCCATTGGCTGATTAATAGAGGGTTTTGAAGAAACCCCTTTGACAGGGAAATGATGACAGATGGTATACCAAACCGGCCCCTCTATTTCTACCAAAAGGACAACAAATTGGTTGGGGAATGTTGATGTGAATATACGTGAATAGTGATCCACAAGATGGGTGTGGACCTGAAAATGCTTGTCTTTCAAGAAACTTTAACATTTTGAATAGGGAACATGACGATTTTACCAACGGATTTAAGGACCATGTTTTCAGAGAACACCATATAGTCAACAATCCACAATTGGTGGTTTAGCATTGGATTCAGAAAAAAACAAGTTTCTTTTCGCGGGTAATTATCATAGGCCCCGTCTATGATTGATAACCTCTACTAATCAAACCCAGCAATGGTCAATCCCCTCTAAATTGAAGTTTTATTGGGACATCATCTGCAAATGGTGGATGTTTCATTGGCCGTTTGTTTACCGGAGGGTAATTAATGGAGATATCATGTTTAGGATGGCAACTTTCAGACTTGTCTTTGGGCTTGTCGAGATCAGCCGTCCTGGCAGTTGAAGGGTTGATGTCACCGCCGGCAAAGACTTCATAGGGCTGTTGAGGCTTCTGAATCTTCCAACCTTAACTGGTTGGTGGTTTGGAACATTTTTTGTTTTTCCATATGTTGGGAATAAGAATCCCAACTTACTAATATTTTTCCGAGGGTTGAAACCACCAACCAGTTAAGATCAGGGATCGATGTTCGTTTCTTCGTCATTTTGCTGTTTCAAGCCATCAGAAATCATTGGGCCTTTACAGCAGTATTTTGAGTTTGGGCAGTTTTGCCAATGCCCAGCGAATATCATGGTTTCACTGATCTTTTGACGACATGGCGCTGTTGGCCCAATTTCGCCACATTTTTTCGTCGTGGAAGATCCAGAAATGGCCATATCGCCATCCCATGGCCCCTGTCTTGTCGCCTGGTGACAACCAGAATCTGGTGAAATGTTTGGTTTCTACATGCGATGGCTTTATGAGTTGATGTCGCCATTCTGTAGGTTGACCATTTGGACTAAAATTAGAAGATATAAAGCAGCAGATATTATGAACTGGAGATGGTTGGCAGTGTGGCAGCGGGGCAGCTACAACTGCCCCTTGGGCATGGCACTGGCACATATTTTTTGACTTACCAAGATCTCAAAGTTGCCTGGTTGGTGGTTTCAAACAATTTTTATTTTCCATAATATATGGGATAATCCATGATAATCCTTCCCGCTGACGAACTCATAATTTCAAGATGGTTAAAACCACCAGTTGCTGGCTCATATCTCGTGAACCTACTTGCTGCAATTTCCAGATGAGTTTGCCGTTTGCCTTCCGGAAATCCCCAAATCGAGGGAAAATTAGCTGGGATCTTCGAACTGAATGGGAGACTTTGCGTTGCCACTTTTGATTCCCCTCCTGTTTTTACTCACGGTTCGATGTGGAGTTTAGCCACCAGTTGTAGATCATTTTCGATTGGGAAACCAGTTTTCCACATCTTTTTGTATGTTTACCCTAGGCCAGAGGGTAAGTGGCTAAAGATTGAAGCATCTACGGGGGGGTCTTGAGGAATCCCATGTTTGTGTGGGGGTGCCTGGGGTGGAAGTCGTTAGGCCTTTTTCCTTCAGGGAACACATGGGAAACCCTTGGGTAGCTTGGTGCTCACTATTTTGCGGCTATAAATGTGGAGGCTTGCTACCTCCTGGAAATTTAAGAGGGCTTTGCTTTCGTTGGCCCATTTACTCTGATGAATCACCGGTGAAATATGGTGATTTTCCACAGCCATCTTAATTTGCCAGAGCGTAAGCAGCTTTAAAAATGCAGGGTATCCAATGGACCACTAGGTACTGGGCAAAACCCATCTCGCTCAATGCGCATTGATCAAACGCTTGTGCAAGTTCACAAAAGGACTGTTGAACTGCAGAAGCACGGCCACAAGATCTGCATGAAATGATGAGTGGCAAGCAAAATGTAAGATTGTCCTTTTCAGAAAGATGGGCCAGCTTGGCATATTAGTTTTTATCATCTACCTAAGGACCTAATGAAGCCTATTGGTTGCTGAATGAGGGGGCCCGCTGTTAATATCTATGAAACAGTCGCAACCATCCAGTAGTGGGCAAAAGATATCGGTTGCTATCTGTCTATATATAATATATATATATCTTTTCTTTTGGCGACGTCCTATGCTTGTGTTGACCCAAGCATCAGCACCAGTCTGCGACTGTGCTATCACGCCTACGCTCACGGGAGGGTTGACACACGGTTATTGCATCGTTCGCGTTGCGCCCCCAGAGGGGTCCATTTTTTGCAGCGAACGGTTAGGAAGAGCCACTTGAACCCACCAAGGCCCATGCCTACCCTTGGGATGGCATTTTTTCCCGAAGTTTGCCCCAGTGCTCCTTTCATGATGCGCGGTGTTTTTTCTCAGGTTACCTTTGTAGGGTTGCCGCCATCAATGGAGCTGGAGAAGTGGGCCCCGCCACTCCTGATGCTGTATCATTGACCTTGCCGTGGCTTGGCACCATTCCTCCGCATTGGGACCTGGGAGGTGTGAGGCTGCTGTTGGTCTGAAACGCGGATAAGCAATGAAAAACCATGGTTTGGATTGGATGCCACATGGACAATTTTCTTGGCATGAGTTGGTGTAGGTGGGCGGTGATAATTTTTTGGATGCGGTGTTTGTTTGCTAACCAGGGTGCTGAAGCACCAAATACTGTGGTGCGTTTCTGAAGCGAAAGGCGCGCATTTTGAGATACTTTTGTGGTCACCGCTGTCCAACCTCGCAACACCGAACCCCCATTGATTTCTTCAATGCTTCAGGAATCCTTGCGCAGTGTCTCGTCCGACACCCCCATCTCAAGCACCCTTGGCGCTGGGAGACAGAGAAGGTCAGCTGGGCCTGGCATTGACGGAACTAAATCACACAAAAACTGATCGGATTTCAAGGAAAGCGCTGCAAAACAGTTCCAAAGAGTGGCCACGCTCATTGTTTGTGAATGTTTAAGGCATTGTTGCAACCATGCAATTAATTAGTTCATCTGATGTGATTTACTGGATCCCGTAATCTTGGAATAATCCACCTGCAAAATTGACAGCGCTAGGGAAAACATCACGTTTCTTCGGCTTTTCTTGGAGGCCATTATGGTTCCATGTGGCCTCAAGCCGGGGTCAATGGCAATTTGCTGACCATGACCATCAATGAGTCTCTTGCTTGACTATCCAGCAACGGTGAGCTGAGCTATAGGTATCCATATTTCCGATGGGCCAATGGGGGGGCCCGGGACCTATTTTTTGAGTTTCCCAACTACATCATAGTTGTAAAAAATGACGTTAACATAAGGGAGCACCTTCAGCTGAATAGTTTGAAAAATGTTGGTATGAAAAAAAATGAAAGGGTTAAGATAATACCAATCCAAAATGTCATGGTTTGCCGCAAAAAAAACGGGCAACCATTCAGTTGTTCCTTGGAAATTCCGGGGTTTTCAATTGTGACCCAGTCCCATTTGACAAGCAGCAAACAGAATTCAACAGGTTTGGCAAAACCAATTCGCTTAGCCTGAAACTGGGTAGTTTTGCCAGAAATTTATCACAGTTTATCCAAACATGATCACTAAACTTGTCATTTTGGGTCATACAACTTCCATTTTTGAATTGGCGCCCCCCATGTCGACACGTCAGCTGAGCTGAGTTGATGCAATTTTTGAGGCCGAACAAGCGGAAAGTGACAGTGCCCCTCTTTCAGGCCCTTTTTGTTTGTGTTGATTCTGATTGGGGGTGGTTATTGGATCTTATTGGGAAATAATGATAATGATATAATGATTGTGATTATGATTCTGATTTGAGGTTCTGATTGTGATTTTTGATTTGTTGACTGGGATTCTAATTATGCTTCTGGTTTGGTCCTATATAGCATCTGTGTTTTTCAAACACCTTCAATCCCTTTGAAGATCGTACTGGACACATGACGGGACATCCTGGAACCAGCGATTGCCACTTTTTTACCTCCAAAAGCTTGCAGGTCGTTGGGGGGGTTGAAATTCGCATGGATCTTGACCGGTGATATTTGGTCCCAAAAATTCTATCCGCTAATCACACATGGCAATGGAAGATATGGGAACATCCATCATTTATAGATCCCATGAAATCCTCTATTTTTACGGCATTTCCCATTGCCACGTTTGATTACCGGATGGTTTTCCATCCTGTAATCAAAGATTGCTGCAAAATACCATGAGAAATCACCAGGAAAACCACGGTTGAATTCTGGATTTTCCGTTGAACAGTTTGATATTCCGAGGGTGCAATTTATTTTGGGGCATATCCGCCATTGTGTAGCCATTTTCTTCGTGTTGGCAAGTTGTTAAGTTGGCTGTTGTTGGATGATCTCCACAAATTTTCATTCGCCTAGAAGGTACACACACGCACACGCACACACACATATATATATATACTACAGAATATTATCTATTATTGTTGGTTGGTTGGCCTAGGTCGTGTAATTTCTTCGCCATTCTTGTGTCATAGCCATGTATTTTGGAAATCTGTGTTGTTGAAACTATCCCTGCTTTTTTGGTTGAGCATATATCCTTGTTAATGTGGGTGAAACAATGTCATAAACCACCCATTTGGGAATGGTAAACATACCACCTATTCATGGTGATTTGGGGGATGGTTTATTCTTGCTTTACCTACATTATTTCTTTTTCATGACATCACATGACATCCAGAATTGTAAACATGTGGTTTTCGTCATCCCGTTGGTCATGTCCCTTATTACCACATGTTTAAAGATCACGGTCGCCCAGTTGTCCATGAATTTTGGAAATCCCATCAACCACTATTTTGGGGATTTCCGGCAAGAAGTCCAGATCAGACCCAATTACCGTAAATCCCATTAAAGTCCTATTAACATATGAATCCTAATCAAATGCCACTAAATTCCCATGAAATTTCCATGAAAAACTCCCATTCACCAGGTAGCATATAACCAGGTCAGCCCCAAAATCCAGGACAACCTGGGAGATGACTTGCCGTTGGGGCTCTTTGGCCAATATGGGGCTCACTCTTTGACGTCAGCATCGGTGTCTTGGTGCAGATGGGAGAAACATCTGGCATTTTTTTTCGGATATGAATAGGGTATGGACATTTATGGAACTTTTACTCACTTCTGTTGATATTTTGTAATGAGGGAATTTCACCAACAAAACTGGTGAGAATGGGGATGATATAATGAAATGATGAAATACTAGTGGGACATTCACGGAAGACCGCCTGCGAACTGGCACCTCTAATTTAGAATAGCCTTTTGGTAATCAAACATGGCTGGCTGGAATATCCCCGAACTCTTTGGATATAAAAAGAATGGTAACATCATCGAACTTAGTAGGAGGTTTTCCATTGCCATGTTTGGTTGTATACCGGAAGATAATTGGGGGTTTATCTTTCAATTAGTAATAAATTAGTATTAAAATTGCAGCACCCCAATGAAATTCAACGAAACAGTGTAAGGTTTATAAAACCGGGTTGGCATTTCTTAAAATCTTCCAAAGTTGGCAGGGTTTGCCGATAAATGCCAATGTAAAGAAAATAGCAAGACTTTCATCCCCAATACCCTCTATAGTAATCAAACATCGGCAATGTGACGTCCCCTATAAATGGAGTTTGAAATGTGAAAATCATATATAGGGGATGTGAAAACTCATAGTTATATATATATATTGTGATCGAACTCCACCATGATTTCCTACCACTTGCAATATGTTCTGGTATAAGGATTTTCTTTGTTGTTTCTTTCGTTTTCATTTCGTCAGAATTTCGTCAGACTTTTCGTCGGGTGCTTTGTGGCAAAACGTTTTGCCACAAGATTTTGCCACAAATTCTTTCGTCAGAATTTCGTTAGGATTTCGTAAGAACTTGAATTGAAGCAACGAAATCTTTGACGAAATTTCAACGATTTTTTTTGTGGCAAAATGTTGTGGCAAAACGTTTTGCCACAACATTTTGCCACAAAAAAAAATCGTCAAAATTTCGTCAAACAATTCGTTCAAATTTCGTCAAACTTGAGTTGAAGTAACGAAATCTTTGACGAAATTTCAACGAAATTCTCACGATCATTTTTTGTGGCAAAAGGTGTGGCAAAATGGATTGCCACAAGGATTGCCACGAAATCTTCAACGAAAGCACTAACGAACTCTCAACGACCGACTGACGTTATACAAGTCCTATTGCAAATCATGAGCAGCAGCAACACAAAACATATATATATATGTATAACTTTATATCACCAATATTTAACTCATATATTTATAGATAATGGGAAAATCATATACGACCATTCTATAACCGGATAGTTTTCCATTGCCAGGTTTGCTATCCGGAGGATACATGTGAATGATGTTTTCGGGCCAAAACTGAAACGCCGATACGCCGGCGGACGCGTTCTTTTTTTTTGGTAAGGACGGTCAGAGCAATGACCTTGCGTTGCCAGAGCATTTAGATGCACCTTGCCCTGAGATGGTGATGATTGCCATTTATTGCCATCCCATTGGCCCCGGTGGATAATCCCCATGATTTTTTTGGGGAATCTATGATGATTTTTTGGGGATTATCTGCCATAATGTCAACCCTGGATGTTTTAAAGCCCTAGGCCCCAAACGGCTGTTTAGTTGGGAGGGTACCATAAAAAAGTATTAGATGAAATGACTATTGGAGGAGTACCCACCTAATTAATAAATTTGATTATCTAATAGGATTTTGTAAACCATTAATAGGATTGTACTTAATTATCCCTAATAAAGTATTTAATTAATCCACTTAATCCACTATGGTTTAGTCTCATCCGGGGTTGACTTTTTCAGTGGATTATCTACTATGGTTGCGATCGAGCTAATGGATTTCACTAGATCCACTGTCATCCCTTGGAAGGCACGGCCAAGGGTGATGGTTCGTACTTGACCTGCTTGAGTCCTCCACATGAGGACCAAGCCTGTGGGTCTAGGCTCCAACAAATCAGGGGGAGGAACACCCCAAATATAGCAGCTTTGATGTGGTTCTTTGCACGAACAATTGTTGGAACAATTGATTTTTGGGGTTCCCAAAATTTCAACAAACTCAGGTGCATCAACAACACTGGCCGCCTTCAGAGTTTGATTCCAGACAGTGGTATCATCAAGATGCCTTTCCAGGATCCGAGGCCCGGCCGGCTGCTCTTTCTGAGATCTTTAAGGATGGGGTTCAACCTGATTTTTTTTCAGGACCTAAAAAAATCTCGGGATGAAACATCGGAAGGCAGCCAGCCAACAAATGATCAGACATTTTCCAGTAATCATATATAAATCATCATTTATACAAGCTTCATTTTGTAGAATACATGTCAATCATGTCATTTATCCGAATTGGCATCAACTGCCATTTTCTCTTCTCTGGCTTCGCTATGTTTTTCGCACCCGCCAGGACACCTTGGATAGAGCCTTGGTGCCTTTCAAGGCGATGACTGAGATGTGGTAAACCATTTTTTTTGCCCCTTTGACAAATGCCATGTTGAGATGGCGGACATTATCTTCAAATTCACTCAAATAAGTGGGGTCCGCCGATGTTTGAGCAGTTTGCCAACCAGAAAAAGAGTCGAAATGTCACAGCGACTGCAAATTTCTCACTTGATCGAGTTAGCCACTTAAGAGTTTGAATCCATAGAAGATGTTAGAACGATTGAAACTTAAATTTGTGTGGTTTCCGTTCTTTCTGCGGTTGCCTCTCTGTTTTGGGGCTCAAAAATCCTCAGTCAACAGCTGTCGTCGCACAGGCGCCACCTCGAACACAGCACGAGAAGCAGGATGAGCCTTGAATCAAAGTTGACCAAGAAATTTGGGCGGTTTTTTGGGGGAGGAAAGACCGGGTCCCAAAATAGGTTGCAGTGGATATTATGAACATTTAGAGGTTTTATGTGGCTTTACACATGTTTTACATGCGTTTTTAACCCACAGATTTTGATGGTAAAAGATGGAAAAATAAGATATGTTGCCTGGGTTTGGAGATTTTTCCATGCAAACTATCGTCTCCTCGAGTTGGTTCACGGCTTGCTGGAACAGATAGCCTAGCTATTAATAGTTACCACCACTTAAAACTATTTAAAACTCATCGGTGAGTCTAGCAGTTTTCAAAGCTCTCCAGAAAACGATTCCACCAAATTCCAACACTAGGAGTTTGGCAAAAGTTCCGACAACCCAAGCAGAGATCAGCCTCGCTGAAACAGAGCTGAGGACCTGTTAAGACGCCTGCTGGAAGAGAAGCGGAGTCTGTTGGAGTCCAGCTTGCAGCTTGGGAGCAGTGGCCCCCAAAATCGTTGGGGGAAAGATTGAACTTTGGAAAGTGGTGTCCTGCAAAGTTTCACCGGAAAATCCAGAGATTTGGCTTTGATATGATTAAGTTCTCATTTTGTATAGCCCAAGGTAAAGATGATAGTAATGGGACTCCAAGAGTAGTATGGATGATATGGATGGATATTGCCATCTTGAGGATCATTTTGAATAGTTGCTTTAGATCAGAATATCGCGAATTTATGCAAGAAAAATAACGGACATCAATAGGGTTCAATAGGTAACTGATGGTAGGTGGTTGATTATGAATCGGATACAATATATATATATATACAATGGGGATTTCTCTACTGTAGCTAGCATTGCCGGTTTCTTTATACCTGGTTTGTTAAGTGATTTTTCTGCCATCCCGCCATCCCATGGCTTGGGAATTTGGATCACTTCGGAGCTTTGGACATCAGAATTCCATGGTTCCTCAAGAAGAAACCATCCAGAAATCTTCGGACTGAGCAGTTGAGGGTTGAATATGTAAAATATGGTTAAAATGGTAGAAGTTCGCTTGATTTGGCATGATTTAGCTGGAAAATTCACCGCTTGGGGTTTATGGATCACAATCTGATCATATATGGATTTGCTGAAGGTGATTTTCTTGTAATCTCCAATCTGTTAATCCACTTTTTGATGAAAACGGATGAAAACGGGGGACGTTTTATTGTCTTGTCTCCTCTCTTCAGAAACTCCAAACCATTGAGGTTAGAAGTTCCTATCTTCAGTGATGCTATCTTATAAGATTCAGACGCGGCATTCACGATCTTTCATTTGTCTTCCTGATGTTAGAGTGGCAAGCTATGCCATCTACCATCTGGTTATTTAACATAGCCATGGAAAATCACAATTTTTAATAGGTAAACCATCTATAAATGGGCCATTTCCAATGGCTATGTTAAATAACCAGAGGGTACATCGCAAGCCGAATCCAAAGCATAGTCAGCTTCATCCTGATTTGCTGCAGCTGTGTGCATTCAAAGTTCCGACGAAATGCAGAATATAAACATCCAAAAGATCTATAACATTGGACCCATGAATCACTTGACCCTTGAGCAAAATTATGCATTTAACGCCACGCACAATCATACCATCTCATGCCCAGAACGATGGTTTTGGGTGTTTTTGGTCTGTTTGGTTCAGATTTGTGTTTAAACCAACCAGTTGAAACATGTTGAACCCTGATGATTTGATCATCTTTGCATATCTTTGCATAATAACTTCATATGTCATATACCATGTCATGTTGCAGCGCCGCGGCCGATGCCTTCTGTTTCCAGTTGTGGCTTGTGTTCACTTGAGAGCCTTCATGGGCAACAACCTGCGCAGCATCGGTTGCGCTCGAAGAAATCAACGGAACCCAGCGGTGCTGCAACAGGCAGGGCTGGTGTTGAGCTCCTGGGCGTGAAGGAGGATTTCTTGGGTATTTTCCCACTGGGAAAAGCCGCTTGTGCCATAGGATCCACCCCAATTTTACCATAAATGGATGATATAAACATGATAAACCATCAAAAGATGGCTGGATTGTGATAAGTTTATTGCTTTACTTAACATTTACTAACAGTACTTTGGGGAATCTATATAGATGTTTCTTCTACATTTTTATTGGAGGTTTCCTGGAGCACATCCGAGCTATCCAAGGCCCGCAGTCAGTGGAGAGCTGTTACTTGGCCCTAGCGGATGGCGACTGCATCCCTCGACGTTGGCATTTGGAAGGTCGCTGGGGGATCCCCATCGAAAAGATCGCACACGGGAAGCATCAGGTGGGAGGAAGTCCAGGAGTCCCGTTTTAGGGGAAGCTGCTCACCTTATCTAAAATCTAAAACTACCCAAGCTGGTTATGACTAACAGTTCGCCATGGTAGAGCCATGGCCCTAATCGAAATAGATGGTTTACCGAACTTAATAGCATGGTGGATCTTTTCATGGCGAACTGTTAGTCATAACCAGAGGGTAAATAGAGATGAGTTCAACAAAAATCAGTGACATCTTGACTATGAGGTTTATTTACGCGCTACTATCTCTATATGTAATTATATACACACAGCTCACAGCTATTTTTCAAAATGCTCATATATGTTGTATATATTTACCATTTGGTTATGACTAACAGTTCGGCATGGAAAGATCCACCATGCTGTTAAGTTCGGTAAACCATCTATTTCGATTAGGGCCATGGCTCTACCATGGCAAACTGTTAGTCATAACCAGATGGTAAATTATTGATGATGTACTGCGACCGGATCCTGCGTCCTCACAGCCCAATCTCAACCGGAGTTTCATCAAGTTTTTTCGCCTCATGTTGCGCTAATGTTTCCCAGGTTGAAGTGAACATTTATCAAACATGATATAATCTGGGTAAATTTGATCACGACCGAGCCCTGGGAATGATGGTTAGTAAGGGAAATCATCCCAATATGGCCGCAAGATTCAGGTTAGTGAAATAATATAATTTACCCAGATTAATATGGGAAACCCATTGCCATAAACTTTGAATTCCAAACCGTAGCACCTATCTATGAATGATCCAATAGTGATTTTGGGGATGGTTTATGGCATTGGGTTTACCAAACATTACGGGATACCTTCGTATTTTGGTGGATTTGGTGCTCAAGAAAACCATTGTTTTCTCCCTTGCATCCATTGAGAATTTCATTCCCATCCATTAATCCATTCCCTTGATTTCCCTCCAGGGCCTACGCTTTATTCCCTTACTCGTTGGTGCTGAGAAGCGTCTGCCAGAGGAAATTCAGCAGTTGCTGAAGACCGGTAGAGCTTGGGTGGTCCCTCATAACTCCAGTCAGCCCAAAGCAAAGGCTTGGACAGATTGGCATCCAAGTCATGGGGCGGCAAAGAGTCCAGAGATTGCGGAAGAGACTAAGGCCATCCCATATTTCCCGGAACCAATTGAGAAGAGCTTCACATTTGCAGAGCTCTTTGCTGGAATTGGTGGTTTCCGACTGGGTCTAGAAGCAGTTGGCGGAAAATGTGTCTTTGCCTCCGAAATCGAACGCTTCACCCGATCCCTTTACATCTTGAACTTTGGCGAATCGCCACCTGTGGTGGGAGACATTCAAGAGGTCAAGGATTCTGAAATTCCTGAGGTGGGGATTATGGGGATGAGACAAAATGTTGCCCTAAAAACCACCGATCTTTTTTCGTTTTCAGTGCTAAATGTGCTAAAGATATGTTGATTATCGCATTTTTTTGGGGGGCGTTGCAGTTTGACAGGCAGTGTATCATCTTGTTTTGGCCGAAATATACATTGAACTTTGTCTCACAGCCAGGTAGATATGTTGGTTGCGGGATTTCCTTGTCAACCCTTCTCGGCCCTTGGAACACAGCCCGCCTTTGACGATGACCGTGGCCTCTTGTTTCGCGAGATCGTGAGGGTGTTGAAGGCGTCCAAAGCCAGGTCCTTCCTATTGGAAAATGTGCCAGGCCTATTGGAATGTGATGATGGAAAGGCCATCCGGGCCATCAAACAGGACTTCAAAGGCGAAAGAAATTGAAGTAGTGTCAGCTATGGATTATTGAACCCCAAACGGCTGTTTAATTAGAGGGGTACCATTTAAGTATCAGATGATCACCGTTTGGGGAGCACCCCGTAACTAATAAACCAGGGTATATTAATCCAGGGTTTACACTATTTTGTGTGTGTGTGTGTCAACTCCTGTGCTCTAAGGACTTCGCAAGCGCCAATTTCCTTCGTTTCCGTTATTCCGGCTGGCGTTTTCCAACTACCATCCAGCATGCTATTAGAACAGACAATAGAATTTGCACGACGGCAATCAGCAAAGAAGACGGCGAAAGTATCAAAGAGAATGATGTTCTCAGAGACACATGTTTTGCCCATGACGGTTTGCATTTCAGGGTCGCGCATTTCCAAGAAATGGGTTCAGTTTTCAATAATACATGCGTATTCAGCATGTATACATGTAAAATGTAGATCATGAGAGGAAGAGGATGAGCGCGGAGAAGCGTACGATTTTGTGCATTGTGTTTCCCGTGGAGAAGTCCGAAAGATGACGACTTCAGAGATACTTCCGGAGTTCCCACGCAGCGATTTTAGCTAGGATCTTTTTCAATTTTCGAGCATGCAGGGGGTGCCAGGGATCATTGCAAGTCTGGCACTAACAAAGACGCTTGCTTTGATCTGTGACATCAGAAAGGGACGCCTTTCTGACGTACCTGCTCATTTGAAACTGTCAATCAGGCTGTTGCAGTCAGGCTGTTGAAGTAGATCAGGTCAGCTGCACTTGTTCGTGTCCCTGACCGCGAAGGCGACTTAGCAATACAGGTCAGCACATGCAGTGTGTATTTCCGGGTGTTGGACCTTACTTGGTCTCACCGCAATCTTTTTCATGAAGTGCAGCAACGTTTTTTCAAGGAAGTAAGTATCAAGCAGAAGAACAAGCAAACAGAGGAACTGCTGAAGCCTGTCATTTTTACAGCTCAATTTGCGACCCTGATCCTTCATTTGAAGGTGACTGGGATACCAGTGTGTACCGGTCAGAGTTCTGACAAAGAGCTGGCCGTGACCTGGGGCGCCAGGCGATTCCACCGCCGTAGTAGCGGTTATCGGAGATTCCACAGTATGCGGGCCTGTTTTTACAGGGATTCCACAGAACGGGTCTGCCCCACCGTTTTTCCCGTAGCACTGTTCTTCTTTACGCAACAAGAAAGACCCAAAGCTTGGAACAGCACCGGGCCTGATCAGATCTATTCAGGGATTCCACGGAAAGGGTTCGTCCCCCGTTTTTCCCGTTGCAAGGTTCCTTGGTTCTTCGGAGAGGGTAGTTGCTCATTGTCACCAGTGATTCCACGTCTACAACGGCGTTCTTGTCTGGTGTGTACATAAACTGAAAACACAAAAAGGAAGCTTGAAGGACAAGGCTTGAAGGACAAGTGTTGCAAGAGTTACAAAGGGCAAGTTTCTGACAACACCGCAGCCGCTGCAATAGTACAGCTCTAGATGATATCGAAAGAATGACTGCGAACTAAATATTCAGAGATTTCTGTTTGCATTGCATGTGTTCATGCTTCCTTGATGTTCTGATTCTGAACCTTGCATTTTTGAATTCGACATGTCATCTCCGCAAAAACGGTGCTGGAGCAGCTCTACAGAGTGGATGTAACATACATTGACATCGACAGGACAACAACAGAGCGGTTATGTCGGAATATATTGACAGGGATATGCAGCCTTCACGAGCCTTGCAAGCTGTACCTATTCCTCTTGGGCACCCTGCCAATGCTCTATGTGTCTCCGGACATCGTATTAAGACGCGTAACGTCTTATTCACAATCGTGATCGGTTTCCTTTACGCAGATCAAGATCCAGTGTGTCCAGACAGGTGGGTGATGATCTTACAAGCCCAGGCAAGAATGGCAAAAATCTGCCACCTCTTCCAAGATCTGGAACCCAGAGACATTTTCCTTATGTGCAAGGCCGGGCTCTACACATCGAGCGCGGTCTAGGTTGGTTCTCAAACGGCGGCCACATAGATCTCAGGATCGAAGGTTACCTAGACGCACTAGGCATCATCGTGACTCTATAAGTCTTTTGCCAGAGATAGAGGTACTAGTAATCGACGTGGACACTCCAGCTATGCTGAAGAGTTTTCTGGTTCTGTTTCTCAGGCTCATTTACCAGCATGGGCCATGGTTCCTCAGCAGAAGGGTCGCGAAGCTGTGAAGCATTCATGGCCCCTGTCACCTCCCCCAGGAAATTTCACTTAGATACCAAAATTGTACATTGCAAAAGCCACAACCCCTGGACCTTTAGTTACGTTAAATCGGACGACTTGCAATGTGCCTGAAAAGGATGGAGATGAGTTGCTTCCAGCAAAAGATGATTTGTTTCACAAAAACATTGCGGCGATGGCAATCCAAGTTTGTCCGCCTGGTCACAAAATACAGCTTCGGACTCAGATGACAGTTCCGGATTATGATTGGGTCAAAGAAAAGCTTTCTCGCTCAGTAGGGACAGAGCTCAGTGGATTCAACCCATGTACCAGTTAGCATGTCAACTCCGAAATTCACATCCGTTTGTACAAGACGTGAAGCTACGACTGGAGCAGAAGTGATCTTCAAATCAGGATTAGGTGGTTGCATCTGCGTTGTACACACTGACAAAAGCCATTGTTGCTGCCTTCTTTTCCTCTTGCGTGTATTCTACAGTTGTTTCCACATGAAACTGAAGGGCGTCGAATTTGAAAGATTCCTTTGACAGGAAAGCCAAGATATTTTCAGACGCATGACACAAACAAGAATGCATATGTATGGTGTCATGCTACCTCCCCTGCTTGTTTGATTGGTGTACTGAAACTGGGCATTGTTGCCCCTACTTGTTGGGACCAGATATGGATGGACAGATCATGGAGTGGATTTTTCGGAACTGCCACGTACAACCTGACGGAGGAAAACATTTTACGCATCATTCTGCAATGACCTCAGGCAGGGAAGAATATAGCTCGGGGTTCGATAACAGGAGGTTGAAGAATGCCGACTGATACACCGCCCTCGAGACCGTCGCTGGCGTATTCACTTCAACCATAAAGTTATTGATCATAATTGGTTTATTGAACTTTGCTCTGGACCCACTCGGCTGGATGAAGCTCCCGAAACTAGATCGACTATGATCGAAGGGTTGGTCTTGTATATGCCTCCAAACCCACAGTTGATGGAATTCTCTCTTGGGCATTTTTTTGCAACATACGACAGGCTTATGAATTTTCACGATCGTGCAAAACATGCTTGCTGCCAGCAGTCATCCTGTATCTGCGCTAACAAATAAAACAAAACGACAAACGGCTCATGACTGAACATGGCGTTGGTGTCGTGTGGCTGATGTAGGTTTCAGAATTACAACGCATGTGCTGGAGTCACATGACGCTAAGCAACGATGAACCTGCTTCACAAAAAATGACATTCTCTGTGCTCGTTCATGTTTTCTGCAGAGTTGTTGTTTTGGTAGGTTTTGTCTCAAGAGCATCCAACATCCAATTCAGTTCGTAGGTATGTCATCGTGGGGTAGTCCCACCACAGGTTGAGAGGCCATATAGGGCATCCTATGTGGCTGGTGGCCGTATAGGACCCCCCTTGCTATCCTACATCAGTGCACCATGCCAGTGGCATTCTTGGTATGACATAGGTTTTCCTTTGAAAAATGCTGCAACAGTGCCTGCAGCATAGCATCAATGATGTGACTGCTGACATCAATGCTCCAAGCCAGTAGCATCATATACCAAGACAGAGGTCATGCCTTAAAAAAATGCGACAATCAGCACAAGACTGGTTGCAACATAGCGTCACTGAGACTTGCCTCATCTCGAGCCAAGTTTGCGCCTAGAGAAAAAAAACATATAAATATATATATATAGATATCTCTATCTGTATAGGTTCTAGTTTAACATATCAATAAAACCTTACATAGCTAATCCCCCAACATGCACACCCCTTGGAAACCCTTCAGCATCCAGTGTTTTTCCTCAGACAATTCCGCTCCACCGTAAGCAAACAGCAACACAGTAGTGTTGCAAACTTCTCTGGCTGAAAACTAATGGGTGAAGTCCGCTGCAAATAGCTTTTACCTGGGGCTACATGCAAGGGTGTTGAAAAAACATATCACCAAAATGTTGATAACAAGGGTTCCTATTTCTCATATGTTCCCCATGTAAAACAGAAAAATGTTGATAAACCAGGAGGGCCACACGACGAATGAGATCTTCATCAAGCATGCACTGGTAAAAACGTGCATTTCCTCTGTTAGGCACATAGTCAAGTATCCTTAGGCGATTGCATGTTCCGTGTAGTCAAAACACAAGAATGTTTTCTAGTGAACATTGGGTGGAACAAATCTAACAAACAAATGAACTACTTTTTTCCCAAGTATCGTGTGTTCAAAACTGTGCATCTTTGGGCGGACAGGATATCGTAATTTCCCTGCATGCAGTGCGCGCAGTGCCAAGCCTGAATGTTTTTTAAGGTCACAAATAGCAAAGAAAATGGGTTTGACAACATTCCAAAAAAAATACTTTGGTCCTAGCAACTGTTGTAACAGTCTCGGTATCGTAGGTACGCCTGTTCAATTTTCCAATTTTGTTCTGGAGGAAGTAGACCAGGACCATGCTCAGCAAAAACAGTTGCGATCAAATTGAACGCCGCAAAAACTTGTTTGATCCACCTCCAGGTTTAGGAGATGATGGTTGAGATCTATCTGATTCGAGAACGCACCCTGAATTTTTCCAAATCACATGTGAACCCAAAAATCCAATTTGTTTCAAGTTGAATAAAATATCAACCCAAATTCCCCACATTAGATTTGGGATTGATTATGGTAAATTTGAAAAACAATTTGGTATACCAAGCCTGTGTGCATCTGAAGGGTGGTCATGATTGATCTCGGTCGCTACTAGCAAGCAGAAAGGTATCATCATGCGACTAGCAGCGCCATTCAATTTTTTCTGGCCAACTGCAGGGTATT